AAGGAGTAGGGAAGCTCATCGACCAATGGCAGCGCAAAACCGAGGTTGATTCGCCTCGAGTTCCTATCTCTCGTAGAGGTGGCTATACCCCAAAACGAGCTGGTCTCGTCTCTGGAGAAGTTAGCAAGGACAGCTAGACACGTGCAGTCACTTGACCTATAATATATTCGCTCGCGTTCGTTCACGTACGGCTTGCAATAGCTTGTAAGATAATTTATACAACAATCTGACGTGCTACAAGTTCTGAACCCTTGAGGCTCGAGCGCTCAACACCCATCGGAAACATGAGACATGGGATGATCTTGCGGGGACCGGGGACGTCGTGCTGTGCTTCCAAGTAATTGTCGGGCTACGTCTCTACCCTTCCCATACTCCCAAGCATCCTGGTCAACAGGATAGCGATTGGCTTTCACTCGCTCGGTGTCACCAGCTATGCCAAGCTCCTGTGCCGCAGCATCGGCGCGCGCGAGGTTAGAATCACCGGGGTGAATGAGAATAGCCTCTGGTTTTGACTTCATTCGGCGTGTTCTGGGCTGCCACGATCGTGTAGACATATTGTATGAGTCGTCCTCACTCTCAGAGTCCAGGGGAAGATCTCTAAGCTTATCATAGCTGAGAAGGGGGATCAGCCTCTACAGTAAGCTAGCTTGCGATAAACAAGACACTCACGTGGCTGACTTTCCTGGGGCAGCATCAACGTACTCGAGGAAAAATTGTCCGACTGACAACATGACGACCTTTTGGAGAGTAAATTTTTTGCGATGATCTCATATGATTATTGGCACTCACAACGGCAAGGATGAGACTGGTTCAAAGCCGGTCAGACCAACTCGATGACTTCCATTGAAAAAAAACGCAACTCACCCTACTTGGTATGACATGGCAATAAGCATGTAAGTTCTAGTGATATTTCACAATTCGACATTGTTTTTCTGTGGATTGATGAAGACACAACTCACAGTCTAAGTGTTGTTGCAACACCGTATAACACTGTTCTCCATACTGCTTTTGCTAATCGCGAACGACCAATGAAATGAGGACCCCAATGCTTGCTAATAGCGAATGACAAGAATCTTGTGGTTCCGGTGACTTGAAGTGGGTGAAAAGAAGAGTTTGTGACACGAACCTCTCAGACAGACATATGACAGCAGTCAGAAGCACGCCGAGGAAAAACTCCCAGACGGTGTTAAGGCGCAGAGAACTGAAGAGAATGTGTTCACCGATGAATGGGAAATGAACGTAATCAACCCAGCCATCCATCATGTCGTGACTGCCGGTGTACAGCAAAAATGTTGTGGTTGGCGATAACGCGGTTTGCCCATTATGCACTGTCACTACGCATCAATGCGGAACCGTAACTTATAGTACTAGTACGAAAGGTTGCCACGACTTCACTTGGTCCAATCGTCGGGGCTGGAATGCCCATTCCCATCGCGACCGTTCAAATATTGCTAGTGACTAGTACTAGGTGTTGCATGGCCCACAGCACGGTACCGTGACACCGTTCAGTAAACCATTGCGATGACAATGATGGAAACTTCCATGATCCCCTTCAACTTGAAGTTTACCCTACCGAGGCGTTCAAGTTGCACTCAGCTTTCACCAAGCGCTTGGACGACGTCATACATCTAAGCGAATGATGGTGATGGACATCTTGTAACTTCGTCATCATCACCCCGGTTGATCCAGCCAGTCGTGTTTGCGAGAGAAAGTGAGAAGAGACATCATCATGATGGGAGGCGACGCGTGTAACAAGATATCGACATAAGGTGAGAATAGGCACTGAGCCCATTGCCTCTAAAAGTGATTCTCTATAGGTCTGTGAGGTGTTCGGCTGTTCAACCAAGTAGCTTTGTATGCAGCAAACTAAATATATCTGTAGTTGCATTGTTCCGCCCAAAATTGATGTTCGCTTGTTTTCCTTTTTTGAGGTCATAACCAACGAGGAATTTACCCGCTTGAAGCTTGAAGACTAAGTCGCCTTACGCTTTCCGAGAGCGACGCTACTACCTTCGGAAGCCTTCCGCTTTCTCCATTCGCAACTGTCTTGATATTCGCAAGTGCTGTCGAGGTATGAGAAGCTTTCACGACACTGCCTACTAAGGTAACTCACCCACACCGACTGGACTGTGCGAGTTCAACGCCCCTGGGAAGACGAAAGCCGAGCCACCATTGGAGGATATCTTTGAGATGTGCATCGAGCCGGTCCTCGTCCATGAAAAACTTCCTGGTACCCAATATCGTCGAAAGGCCAGAGGTATCCTCCTCAACTGGAGAGTCATCATTTTGATCAGGAAGAGTCCCGTTTTCTTCCAAGTTAGTCAACTCATCAACCACTGGAGCTGTGCGTAAGCGTTAGTATAGTAGAATCCTCAAGGAGGTTTCATACCGAGATCTTTCGTAGCGATCGACTGTGGATTGGAGTCGGGATTGTTGCTGGTGCCTGCAGGTAACGAACCTGGCACTACCAATGTCGGCTCAGGGTTTTCACCAACGGTGCTAGTGATGTCAATAACCTCATCAGTTAGAAGTTCTTCGCTCGATGCAGTATGTGCAATCTTAAGGCTGTGGTCCGCAGCCTGAGAAGTGCTGGCCTCTCCGGCGTCTTGATCAAGTGAGCACAAGCTCTCTGCAATGGCACGATCCAAATCCAATTTCTCTTGGAGGGCAAGCCTTCCCGGGGGATTATCGATTGCCTTTTCATCGGTTTTTGCCTTCTGTTTCTGATAATGAACCGAGTCCTTGTTGACCCCAGCTTTCCGGTAGATAATTTGCAGCTCGGGATGGATGCCTCTCAGTCGTTCACCGCTGCACCGAGCCGAGTGGACGACAGAAACCCATGCGGCGACCATGGAGTTCAGATCTACATGAAAAGGGTCTTGTTGATCTTTTGTTAGCAAACCGATGTCTTCTACAAAATTCCTGGAAAATGATTGATCCGGATTGACAGATTGCTTTGACCATAGTGCATTGAAATCAAAAGTTTCCGGTGAGAGGAGCGGCGAGAGCAGGCGATGGTAAAGCATAAGTTGCATCTGTGATGATATCGTATCCTCATCTGGGGGTAGTGATGACACGCGACGAGTCTTGTAGTCTACAAGCGTCAAATCGTAGAACGTGGGTTCGAGATGGACGGGCCTTGGGATCGAACTTTCTGCCATAGAAATGTCAGAAATATCCTCCTCGGTTGGGGACAGATCCGCTGTACAAGTCTTCTCAGGAATAGACTGATTTAGACAAACAGATGTATCGTTTTGGGATGGGGACCGACGCTGCTTTTTCTTGACGGGAGATGATTCGGGGGAGACCGGGCCACGTTTGGCAGGACTGTGAAGTTTATTGACTTCTGATGGAACACGTCGAGTCACTTCGTCCTGTCAGAACAGACATGTGTCAGTCGTTCATTCTCTGGGTGCCAAGATACTTACGATAATTCCGCAAACGACTTGCCCATGCGTAATTCCGAAAACTGGGAGTTCTCTCTGCAAAATAATGTTAGCACTAATTGTGATCGCCTCATTGTCAGAAAAATTTACCGTTAGCCCCTCAAAGATGAGTTGTTCTAGGCCTGCAGTTAGATTGAAAAGACTGTTGAACAACTTAGGAAACGGTTTGAGCAACGGTGATGCAATATGCATACCGTAAAGCCCAACGCTCTTCATCAGTTGATGTACGGACGTAAAGTTTTTTCGGCCGCACTTCCAGCTCCAGATTTTTGTGAATAGACTAAAATAAAAGGTTGTTTTTTTGTAGAAATAAGTAAATAATAAGACATACGGCCCCTCTCTTGAGTGTCTTGTCGTGCTGTTGTGCGACACTTTGTTTGACCTGAATTTTTTTTCCGTCTCTTGACTTGAAAGAGGGTGGTCGACTTTCGAGGGGTTTGTGGCGTTCTCCATACAACCCATACTCATATTGTACTTCACACCTGTAATTCAATGTAAGAATGGGGCGAATGAACGACATACTGAACAAACCAAACAGGTGAGACAAGGTCTGTCACGGAAAATGCTTTCTTCCAAGATAAAAACTTCTTGTATAGGTTTATCGCTTGATTTCGAGGGCGCACTCCAGAAACAGGCGGACTAAATAGCTGCAGGGGCTTTGTGCTAGCTGAGAGATGAGATACTCTCGTGCTGACAGTAGGTTTAGGGATTTCTTCAACAGGATTTGTGTCAATCGGGTGCTCAATAGCAATATCAAGCGCAGGTCCACCACTAAAGCTAGCTTTACCGGGTCCCGCCGAAATATCATGCTGTGATTTCAAAGTTGGACTGTCATTGAGCACCTTTGGCAGCGGAGTTTTCGTAGCATCTATATCAAAACGGGCGAGCTCCTCTTCGGTGAATTCTGAAAGGTCGTAATGATCAAATTCGTCATGAGACATGATACTTGTGGATTGGAAGAAGGTGAGCTGGACAAACGCGACTTGGCATATGCAACGATCACGTGATCCTGATATAACATAATAACAATAACTGAATTTAGATTATACTTAATTTATGTAAAAATCACCGAAACGTTGTCGACTGCCTTTACTCGGTGTCTTCTCCTTTATCGATCAATGATTGTAGGAAAGGAACGCATGAGGCCTTCTATCAACCAAATGGCCCCCGGGTGGGTTATCTACTAGCCTTTGTACCCTTCTTATCAATACGCGATCGTGATCGCCCAAGCGCTCATTGCCGATCGGCATGGACCTGCTAGGGGCGCTGTGGAAGGTGTGGAGCAGATGCATTTGAATCTAGCCACACAGCCAATGTGAGAAACAAATTGTCTACCCGCGTCTCTTTCAACTTCATATATTAACTCTTCCTTGTACCATCATCATATATCTGCGTTGTGAGAGCCGCTCTGCCTCACAACCTCTTTACCCTCCGAGTCTTCGTCATAGATTAATTTCACTACGTAGCCCCTCTTACATTCACCTGTCCTTTAGCTCCTCGTTCGTCGGAGACCAAGACCATTCTTCAGATCTTTTCCTTACGTCGGTCAACGTCATGAAGAACTGCTTCCTCATCGTTCTTCTCTTTTCATCTGCAGTTGCTGTGGCGTCTTCACTCCAGGCTCGTAACCCAACGCCCTCAAAGAGGTATGCACTCCCCATTATCCAGCGGCAGCCAGAACCTTCCAAAGCCCTCGATAAGCGATCCTTGGTCAAACGGGCTCCCGCTCCCGGGCCTTCCGCAATTCATGTTGGTCGTGATGTTGGTCCATTAGAGCGCCTCGCTGCTCGCCAAGCCTCTCCTTCAAAGGTGTTGTCAGGTCGACAGCCGGCTGCTGTGCCAGTCCCGTCTAAGCGCACTGCTGAGGACTCCGCAGCCCCACAAAAGCGCAGCGTAGATCAACAGCACGTGATAGGGAGTGCAGCGGATTCTCATGGATTCTGTCTCGACGGGCTCGTAGCATGCCCCGTCTTGAGCACACCTGGGCAGTTCCCTCGCACGTTTGTTGAATGGGAAGCGATAGGGTTTGAGTGTGTCGATTTTGCGGCAGATCTCCGGTCCTGCGGCGGTTGTTCCAGCCTTGACCCTATCGAGTAAGTATTTGATGGACTACTTGATTCTACTTGGCTGAACACCATATTTTTATCCAGGCATGACTGCATGAATATCCCGCATGTTGAAGGCGTCGCTTGCGTCGCTGGTGAATGCCAAATCTCATCTTGCCAATTGGGTTATTCGCTAGAAAGCGATGGTCACGCATGTTCGCCAACAGAGTAGACCTGCAGAATTATTGGACATTTCTCATGGAATTTTCGTTCTTTCTATGCTATCATCTGAATCTAGGGCGTTCATCCCTTTTCCTCCTTACAGGACTTTTCAATTGCTTGGCATTTTCTATTCCTGGACCGATTGACGTTATTGTGCTATATACTTTCTGATCTTACGTCCCCCACGTGTTTACGATTGTTCAGATTAGTAACGACGTGTTTGTGCTCTCAGTACTCCCCAGCTAGACATTCATCATTCGATAGTTATTCGGACCTTTTGCGATATAGTTTACGAGCTTTGTTTTGATTCATAGCTTGTTCAGTGCCACAAATGCCCGGGAACTTATTTTAGGACGGACGGAGGGCCAAGCAACTGCTGTCTAACCCTACATAGCTATCGGTCGTCTAGAGAATACCGGTCCGTGGGAAAACGAACAGAGCACGACTCTGTTCTACCTGTGACACCGGGCTGTGGGGAGACCATGTCAAGTCTATCAATTTTATTATTTATTAATTCTGTCATTCTGTCGTTGGTACTAGTGTCTTCCGAGTGGGATTGTTCCGCTGATTACGCATTCACAGATGGACTCTGATATAGTGCCCTTCTAGTTTTTGATCAATGGGGTTATCACTATTTTTGGTGTGGAGTATCCATTGAGAGCCTTGACGTTTAGGTGCCGAGTAACGACGTTAGCTCGTCGGAGTTGCCTACAGCGCCATATCCGTTTTTTCAACCTACCAACCAACTTCGAATTCAAAGCACTAACCTCGCTCGTTATCTCGTTATTCCTTGCACCACCCACCCTTCCCTTATCAAGTTATGCAGAAATTTTCCGTTGTCTATAAGATCATTGTTAGCGTAGAATATTCCAAGTTTAATCTAGTCAGCAGTTTTGACTCCATTGCTTAAGAGTTAGTGCGCGATCGAAGTCGTAAGCAGGTTTCCTGGCTCCACCTGCCTGCGTCCCACCCCGAGATGACGATCGGACCAGCCCAACACTTGTAGACAGCGTCATCGACTTTATAGAACTAGCCGAAGCTGGACGTCTCACGTACCATAGGTGGTATTTGGCCATATTTGTTCTGCTAGTTGCCACATCCGCGACACATTCATAGCATGCAAGATGCGTTGATTGTTCTGTTCCAGTCTCTGGGGCTGGAGAATGATTAATGTTAATTAACGGCGGCCACTCTGAAATCATGGGAAGGTCCCATTGTACATGGGTAGCATGGCCGAACTCATGGAGTGCGAAATAAGATGACAAATAAAATTGTTATCGGGTAGGTTCACAAATTTCAAATGAGCTAATTTTAATTCGTATTACACCATTTTGTCATTGAATACATTCATGATTTCGAGACATGTAAGGAGGCCTAGGTGCATATCTTTCATATGTACATGGAATGAATGTATATAATTAATCTGTATTGTTGTGAGAAAAATAATTCAAATGGAAGTACGTACACAAGTAGAGCGCCGCTGAGATTGAAATGAACCAGCTCGGGCTCGGGGGAAGGTAGTAGTAGTAGGACTTAAAATGGACGTCGTTCCACTTTTTAAGTCTTAGTATGACTGGCACTGTTCGCGTAGAATCACTTCGACCCTCGCCGTCGAGCGTTTGAGTTGTCTTCACGTCGAGCTATCGTTCTCAACCAAACGATCAAGGTCATACATACTACCTTGTCTCTCTCTTTTTTCACGAATTTACGAACAGTCTTTGTGGTTCATTGTCACCGCGCTGCGCTGATACCACTGTTTATTCCATCGCTTTGCATGCCTCCGTGGCATAGTCGCCCCCCACACGTCAAATATCCTTCAAGTGCCTTGGTACATCTGAGGTACCCCACATGGATGCCTTGTGATTTCGTTTCACCCTCTACGCCTCTCAGACGCCGCTTTGATTTCTTTCTACGACTTTCTCCACCTCGGGGCTATCCTCACTTCAGGAACCTTAAGAATATCTTCGTTCCCATGATCTTCATCATATTTGATAATTACGCATATGAACTTGGAGTCAAAACTGTGCTCGCAGGCATCCTCGCCTTGCTACTCGGTCTCCTTGGATTTGTTATTGTGAGTTTATAGTTTGATTGAGGGTCATGTTTTAAATATAGAACCGTGAAATAGAGCATATTTACTCTCGGAGTAGTTTGGATCGTGCCTGCGATGAGGATACAGGCACCTCCCTACCAAGAACCGATCCATCGCAGTCCAAAGAATCTTCGTGGTCTTGTATTGGCTTCCTCCCCAGAACCTATACTTCAGACACTACCGCCGATACCTCCCGGGTCCAAGACTCCTTCCCTTCGGCGAGCAGTATCGTTTCCTGACCTGCATAAAACACCTTCTTCCGAGGGACAACCCCTCGTGGCCTCAAGGCATGTTTCTTTCAATATCGGAGCTCCAGAATCCTACAACCCAACTTTGGCGAGGTCCGTCAGCATGAACCCCTCCCCGACACCATCGACAATTCAGCGTCGCTGGCCACCTGTAATGTCTCCATTCTCCAGGCGTCGATCAACACAAGAGGAATCTGATCCATCCTCACCCACCACACGAGACGAAAGTAATACCACCGCGTGCAACTACAGATCGTCACCCACGTCAAAGAGTACCTGTGTACATGACCTTCCACTCACTTGTTCTGAAGGGCGTTGTCAATGCCGTCGTGGTCGTAGAAATAGCTTGGGTTGTGATGAACATGGCACGATGAACCTACTTCGAGTGGACTCTTTTTCCGAAGGAACAACTTCTACGCGCTCGTCGAGAGCCATGTCTTTACGGTTACCATCTGTTCGGAAGGCCTTCACCAGAAAACGTCGTCCGGCAAGTGTTCCACCGCATACACCTCTTGTGATCAACATTAGCGCGAAGGAGCAGTCTCAACAGCAAAACCCTGCACCAGGGTACCCTGTGAGGACGTCGCCTTCGCCTACTCTCTTGCCCGCGTCCGGTGAAATGTATCGTGCAGAATACGTGAATCCTTTCCGGACAAAGAAATCAAAGATTACCTCCAGTACGTGTGCCACGTTATCAAAATGATATGATACCGGGCTCATTGTCAATAATTTACACTTGCAGAACTTGAGGCTTCGAAATTCAGTCGTAGGTCGAGCTTCTCATTATCTAGCCCATGGTCAAGTCCCAAACCTGCGGGTTTATCGCCTGACTTAGCATCTTCCGCGACATCGTCAACTTGTAAGCACCAGATTTCTAAGTTTACAAGCGATAATGTAATGATGGTTTCTTGTACAGCCATTTTTTCGAACTCGCCATCTGCAGTTCGTAGGACATTCACGAGCCACTTCACTCCTTTTTTCAAATCCCCTACTATCAGTTCTCCTTCGAGCTTAGAGCGCCCGTCTCCCATGCCCTCACCGCAGCTACTGGTGAACGTGCCGAAGTTGACGGGCAAGTATTCATCGCGGTCTGTGCCTCGCACGCAGCCATACGGCCCTCCTTGGAATGCTGTGATGCCAGGACAAGGTCACGATCTGGTGAATGGTAGCCTAGATGACGTTCTTATCAAGAGACCACATCGCGAATACAAAGAGGCTGAGGGTCGTCGGGGGTTCAAGTTACGCTCTCGTACTTTGACGCCGATAGAGGCATCCGAGAGCGAATACCCGCCTGACAACCTTGTGGAACGAGCTGGGTCAGCTTCCATTGGGGTCGATGCACTCTCAGGACGCCATTACAGGCGCTACGGCCGAAGTAGCCCAGAGAACACCTCTAAGGGCTTTGACTTCCACCGATGAGCATGCGGGGCGTGGGTCCAGTGCCTTGTGGACAATTGCAGGCCTTGAACAAGCTGTTGGTGTCCCATCGGATGAACACAACTCAATTTCTCCTGTCAGTTAGTCATGGTGGTTTTAATATACTGCTTGATTGACGGACCTCTTGCAGATTTTCTAGTCAAATTTTTATACGTCATTACGATTGTACACACGGGCATATGGTCGATACCACTTTCTTAGCATATATTCCCTATCAAATATTGGCATATAGCATACACTTGAGTCACGACAATTAGGGCAGCACATAATCATTGTCTAGTCATATTTCGCAGCAGCCTCTATGGAACTTCTGTACACAATTCAATGCAATTCTACTTACTCTATATTCAGAAACCACTAAATTCGGGAGCCGTGTTTTTAGCAAGCATCATCCTGACAGACCATCGTTGGCGAGCAGCGCGCTCATGGCATTGGCCACTGCACTATGTTGACTGGCGCTTAATATTGATCCGTCTGCGATACATTGCTGCAATTGCGCATCAAGGAGGCGCCTATATGTGATGTTCGGATATCAATGTCGACGGATGACAGCAACAACTTACCTAAGCTGGTTCACCAAAATTCCGATGCGGGGCCATGCCTTCAATTTGACAATGTTGCCACCCTTTCCAACAGTGAGACCGCCTCCAATGTGATTGACGGACACAGGTCCACCAAATAGAAGTAACGCGTACATCGGAACCTGATCGCAACTTAGCGCACCGAGCACGATCACGTCAAAACAAAATTACGCACCTGAGTCGCACCGCGGATGAAAACCTTGCTAGTCATCTGTTTCTGGAAGTACGCCAGGAACGGCGACTTCCACGTCGATTCTCCAAAGAGGGTAGACGAAGGATGCAAAAAGACGCGCACACCTGTCAGATCGTGGACCTTGTACTCTTTCGCTGTATTTTCGCGTTGAACGGTGCCCGCTTGCACTTTATCGAATTTGATCGCTGAACGTGGAAGATGCACTTGAGCAACGCGAGGCCATAGGCCGCCGAGAATGACGGCTTTGACGATGTTTGTATTTGCACTGTTTGTGTTCAATTCCTCTGAACTCGCTCTTGCGGAGCGCGGGATGAAACCGAGATCTGAAAGAGAGGAGAGGAAGTCGTGGCGTAATGAGGTGATCTCCCTGATAGTGGTCGCTGAGATAAAGTTCTGCGCAAAACCGATCATTTCTGGAGTTCCATTACAGCAAAAAAGCATACCTCTTCACAGAAATGTCTCAATGCTTTGTGACTCTTACCCCCAGACTGAAGGCGCATGCATTCACTGTACGCATTGACATCTGTGAGTAGGTCGCTTTTGTCTTCGCCAAAACGTAATTTCGCCCTACGTATGCAAATGAGTCCTGGTCGGGGACATTGGGACAAAAATTTTACTTAGTGGCTTCATCCCTATTATTCATAGGATTGAGGAATAAAGGTTTCGACGAGAGGCAGGCTACGACCGTAAGAATTGGGTCTAGGCACTGGAAAACCGTGCCGAGAACCAGCATCTGAAAGACATCGTTAATCAGTCACCCCGTTTCATATTTGATGTACTACTAACCTTCCCAAGTCGTAAATCCACGGGTAGCATTGACTATACAAAGAGCGTGTCTGCTAGTCAACAATGAATGCAGGATACACAACTGCAATCACGCACAATATGACGCCCAAGAGCAGTCAAGCAGCCATCTGCATCAATGGCTCCGAGCTCCTGAAGGACATCCCAGGCTTTATCCATTGCAGACACTTCGGGAGGATCAATAGCCCTATTCAGGAAATGCTGAAAAAGCTAGGTCAATGCACTGCACTTATCACATAGAATCACTAACCTTCGCATCCTCACTCTCGCGCATCACTTTTACGGTTAACGAAATACTCTCCAATGGTGTTCGTAGTATTTCCGGTATTGGAAAATGACCCATTTTCTCTTCCTGTCTGCGAGTATAAAGCCTGTAGCAAACCCCTGGTTGCGTTCTGCCAGCCCTGCCCCTGCGCTGGCGGGCTGCAGCACGCGTAACCCATTGTTCTTTCAAGAGAGATAGCCCACTTTCTGGATCATAGCTTGTTTCTTTGACTCTTCCCGAGTCCACAACATAGACAACATCTTCAATGGTGATGGACGTCTTTGAAACATTCAGCTGTAGGAACTAACTGATGCAACGAACTGACCTCGGCAACGTTTGTTGCAGCAATGATTTTCCAACGTTGTGTATTCGCAAAGACAGCCAGTTGTTCGTCATTTGACAAGTTGGCATGCAAAGGTAATATCTCAGCCTTCTCACCGAGCACGCCACGGATTACATCGATACAAGAACGAATTTCTTGAACTCCGGGAAGGAAAATCAAAATTCCGCCTCGTTGTGACGTTGCAACGATGTGCTGAACAACAGCAGCGATCAGCTAGGACGGGAACGATGAGTTTGCTGTTCTAGTGTTGCAACATCAATACAACCTGATAGTCGATCCTTTCCGCCTGCGTAATATTTTGGATTGCAGATGTCGACTCTTCGCTGAGACCCTTGAAACTGCAATAATCCCGGAACGCATGTTTCTCTTCTTCTGATTCTTTTCTATTTGGTTTGACTGATGCCGGTTTATAGGAAATTGACGGAATATAGTCTTCTAGATACCTGTGATGATTCATTTTCGAGTCAGGACCGTCATAGTCAAGTGGTCGAGTAGTTGAGACAAAGAGACTACGTACATATCTGTGATTGGGTGTGTAAAGCCTGGAATAGTCAACATCGGGGCGTTGTTGAAATATTTCACGAACGTCTCATGATTGATTGTTGCCGACATGAGCACCACCTTGAGCGTAGGGTGTTGTGCTAATAATTCCTTGAGTTCTAGAAGAAGAAAATCACCATCGACAGAACGTTCGTGCACCTATATGCAGTCAGTCAGTCAGTCAGTCATGGTTTGGATTTAGGAAGAGTTGTCATGTACCTCATCAACAACAATGTGTGTGACATCCTTTAGCCCGTCGCCGGAGCCTAGCCTTCGTAAGACAACTCCAGTCGTACAGAAGAGCAACTTAGTGGCTTGGCTATGCTTGGTCTCTCCACGAATGACATATCCAACAGAGCCGTCATCCACCCGTTCTGCAGAAACCCGCCCAGCAACAGATATAGCAGAGATTCTCCGAGGCTGGGTGATAATGATCGAAGCTTCAGCTCCGTGTCCCGAAAGTATCAAAGAATCCAGGATGAATTGTGGAACTTCAAATCGACGCATCTCAGGAAACATTGCATGGACAGAGGTTGACTATGACTTACGCTGAGTGGTTTTGCCACACCCTGTAGATGTACTTCTTCAACTTAAGAACTGGAGACAGATAACAAGGCCTACCTGTTTCTCCAACCACAACAACTACACGGTTGCGCTCGAGCAAGGACAAAAACTTGTCCTTGGCACCAAATGCAGGAAGGCGTCTACGAGCTGATAACATCGTTGCATATGCCTGAGATTGGCACAATTTGTCAAAATCTAGCTTAACCTGCGAATTCGATCGACTATCACCACGACGCCGGATTTTGTGACGCGCTGTTTCGTTAAGACCGGTGGGTAAGGTAGTAGTTGCATGGATAGTGGGCGATGAAGTGGGCGAAGGTATCAAGAATTTTAGTACTTCCGATACATCCGGCGAACCTTTGGACTGAACGTGTGCCCATTGCTCCTCGAGGACCCGCATTGATGCCATAAGAAAGCCTTCTCCTGACTCCATAAACCCATCCTGTTTCATTTCTTGCAACAGTTGGGAAAGAAGATGAAGTCGCATGTACGGCGGGACAGACTTTGATGTGATATACACAGGAGGGTAGCTGCGAAAGGAGTGGTCAGAACAGGACGGCAGCAAGACATGTAGCTCCACGGGAGCGCTGAACAGAGGCATCGATACATGATTCGTGTCGACAAAATGGGCCCCGAGAGCCTCTACTTCATCCGTATTACTTCGTAGACCGTCCACGACATTAGCCAGAATTATGTCATCTGGATTGGCTTGGGCACCCGCACTCTCACCTAGGAGGCGATGGTCTAAAGAGGCCACTAGCAGATCCACATTCGTTACTGAGTGTCTGTCAGTAGTACACTCTTTGACAGTGTGTGCAGGAAATCCAGTCTCTTTGATAATTTTCTCCTCCACCCATCGCTTTGCCAAGTCATCAGAGCCAGAATGACCAGAGACAATAAATGGATCAGAGGAGTTATTTCCCGGAAAGAAGCGCTCGGGAAGGTCGCATTCTGGGAGATGAAGAACTAAATGTTCTATACACGCCTGCAGCGGGCTCATTGAATTCAACAAATTACCCCCGAGAGCCGAAGGTTTGGATAGGAAGGCCAACGTATTGCGTATTTGATCAGACTTGAAACCTAAGTTACCAAGCTGCTGGGTAACAGCTGGTATGACCTCTGCAGGCAATACAAAAGTCACAGGGTCATCACCAAAGTGCAACGCATTTGCCTTGAACTTTTTGTTAATGACAACAGCATCCGTCGTTGAAGTTTAATTACCTTCTTAACAACATCTTCCACCAAATCCCGCAATTCAGTGGACATTCTCACCTCAGGGGAATTGGCGAACTCCTTTGACCCCAGCATCGTGGAGGTCTTTGAATTTCCTTCTTGTCGATTTTGCGCTGCCTTCGCCTGCCTATCATCTACTGCTTTACGTGCAGCAAAAGGATCAGCATCATACATCCATTTCATGTGTTCTGGAACATTTTTGTGTTCTGTTGCTAGTTCAATCCAGTAATCACGAGGTCCGGGTGGCAATACGCGATTAAGCTGAAGTCCATTACAAAACTGCCGGGTTACTCTGCTCAATCCTACTGGTCATGTGAAGTATGACAAAAAAGCACTAACACGGTACAGAGCGTATGCGGCACCCCAATGACGCGCTTCTACCGCGGTCGGCCTCAAATAAGGTGGGTGAGGTTCGAGTCGGACACTTTCCGTCTGCGATGTTTTCTTATCGAACCGGGCGATATGAACGACGAAAGACCAGTCGTTGCCATGTTTACGCTTGCAGATCTTGAGCTACAATAAAAGGCTTGATAAAACATTCACTTACCGTCTCGACGGTCGGTTTGTCCCAGCCACTCTTCTGGCACCTGTGAATGGGAAATTAGCCTTGAAACCTGCGGCTCGTGATGTTCCAGGGTACGCTAATGCTCTCGAATGACTGGCAGGCGTCGTTTTCGAGTGCGACGAAACTCCTACAACGAACACGAAAAAGCATGCATAAGCCATACCTTTCTTGAAGTAGACTCAGAGGATACTTGGATCCCGGTGGGAATAGTGGTTGATCTCGTTCTGCATCAGCCGACTGCGAAGGTAAACCTGCGCCAGAGTTTTTGTTAGTCTTTGATGAATTTCCTGCGTTCCCAGTTTTTACGATGCCCTTGCGAGGAGGCATCAGCTTTCAAATGCCAAAGTGAGCGCCCAGGATGGTTAATTAAGTTAAAGCCTGAGGCCTGAGGATCATAGGATGGTTAAACTTCAACAAATACCAATCAAATAGAATTTTTGATTTATAATTATGTAAGCTCTAACTACTTGGTGCTCGCAGCCTGATCTACTTACGCTCAACAACTCTAGTTCTCACCACGACCTTGCTATGGCAGAGAATGACCTTTACAACCTTGAAGTACTCTCGCTAGTCGCCAAAATTACTCAGGAGATTGACAATTATACTGGCATTAACGATAAAACACTTGCTGAATTTGTCATTTCTCTTCACGACCAGTCCAAATCACTTCCCAACTTCAAATCGCAGCTCAGTAGTGCAGGTGCTGAATTCCCAGACTCATTCGTTGAGAATGTGGACCGTCTAATCCTGAGCTTGCATCCGAAACACAAGAAGAAATCCAGTTTAGTTACTCATGACGCTTTAAACGCCGGGGACGCACTTGATCGTGAAAAGGACAAGCAGAGGCGACTTTTCCCTGGGCTTGCTGTACCAGACAAGGAGATGAAGAAGGATGTGCTCATGAAAGAGGTGGATGATATGATGGCTCAGTTTGAAGGTGTTGCGAAGAGGGCAAAAACAACAGACGAGGATGACTCCGAGAGGCCTGCAAAGCGGGAGCGAAGAGACCCATCTAGGTCACGGTCACCACGCCGTCGTAGTCCAAGCCCTGACAGGGGTCGCAATTACAACTCAAAAAGGGATGATTGGAGGGGGAGAAACGGAGACGAGCGGCCAGTATTGTTTAAAATTTACAGTGGCCGAATATCAAGTCTCAAAGATTTCGGCGCTTTTGTGCAACTAGAGGGTGTTGCGGGACGTGCAGAAGGTGCGTAAAGCATTGTGGTCCTCAGCATTGTTTTATCAACATACTTCCAGGCATGGTGCATGTTTCAAATATTCAGCAGGGTGCACGTGCAAACTCTGCGTCGGATCTTCTTAGCCGTGGACAACAGGTCAAGGTTAAGGTGATGAGCATTGCGGGCAGCCGTATTGGTCTATCTATGAAGGATGTAGACCAAGCTACGGGTCGTGATCTCACTCCTCACTTGCGCATCAAATCTGAAGCCGAGATGGAGGAAGAGCGCCAACGAGCGGCTCGCGCGTCCTCTGGGGCCAATGCTGTGCCATTGCGCTCGAAAGACGAACCATTAGCGACTCGGTCCGCCAAACGTCTGACCTCACCTGAACGATGGGAGATTAAGCAGCTTATCTCATCTGGTGTCATCGATGCCTCCGAGTATCCTGACCTTGATGAAGACTTCGTGAATCCTGTAGCTCGAGCAGAGGTTGAAGAGGAGCTTGACGTCGAAATCAGGGAAGAGGAACCGGCATTTTTGGCTGGTCAGACGAAACGCACTCTCGATCTCAGTCCTGTGAAAATCATCAAAGCTCCTGATGGCTCCCTCAATAGAGCCGCCCTAGGTGGTGCAGCTTTGGCTAAAGAGCGACGCGAGCTTCGTCAGCAAGAATCTAATGAGCAAGCTGACTCTGAAGCTCGAGACTTCAGTGCACCATGGCTCGATCCTATGGCGAAGGAGTCAGATAGAATGTTTGCTCAAGACATGAGAGGTCATCTCAAGGATCGAAGAGCTGGCGAAGTACCCAAATGGAGGGAATCGACATTCAACAAGGCCACAACGTATGGTGAAATTACAAGCCTCAGTATACAGGAACAGCGGAAGAGTCTACCTATCTATAAGCTTAGAGACGCTCTGTTGAAGGCCATTGACGAGGTAAATGGATTGTCTTTTTGCAAATCAATTAGTTTCTGACTCACTTTATAGCATCAAGTCCTCATTGTTGTTGGAGACACTGGCTCTGGCAAGACGACGCAAATGGTTCAGTATCTCGCTGAGGCTGGCTATGCTGATAGAGGACGCATTGGCTGTACACAACCGCGTCGTGTGGCTGCTATGTCAGTCGCAAAGCGTGTTTCGGAAGAAGTAGGATGTCGTCTCGGCCAAGAAGTTGGCTATACTATCCGTTTCGAAGATTGTACGAGCCCGGAAACAAAGATCAAATATATGACGGATGGTATGCTGCAGCGTGAGTCGGTGATTGACCCGCTCTGCAGCCAGTACTCTGTGGTCATGCTTGACGAGGCTCATGAACGGACCATCGCAACTGACGTTTTGTTCGGTCTTCTTAAAAGTAAGTTTGTGCACAATCATTTGGTCGACATTTTCTGACGCCCTTGCAGAGGCCGTCAAGAAGCGACCCGATCTAAAGTTAATCGTCACCTCGGCAACTCTGGACGCTGAGAAATTCTCGAAGTACTTCTTCGGGTGCCCAATTTTCACCATTCCCGGTCGCACATACCCCGTAGAGATTCTTTACACCAAAGAGCCGGAATCCGACTACCTGGACGCGTCACTAATCACTGTCATGCAAATCCACCTGTCCGAGCCCCCGGGCGACATTCTCCTCTTCTTGACGGGCCAGGAAGAGATTGATACATCATGCGAAATCCTGTTTGAGCGTATGAAAGCGTTGGGTCCAAAAGTGCCAGACCTCATTATCCTCCCTATTTATTCCGCCCTTCCATCCGAAGTACAGTCGCGTGTATTCGAACCCACTCCTCCTGGTGCTCGCAAAGTCGTTATTGCTACCAACGTTGCGGAAACTAGTTTGACTATTCCTGGGATTTACTATGTCATTGATCCCGGGTTCTCGAAGCAAAATGCATACGACCCAAGACTAGGAATGGATTCATTGGTGGTCATGCCCATATCCCAGGCACAAGCACGGCAGCGCTCTGGGCGTGCTGGCCGCACAGGTCCAGGAAAGTGCTACCGTCTATTCACAGAGGCTGCCTACCGGAACGAGATGTTACCCACGTCTATTCCCGATATCCAGCGTACGAATCTTTCCCATACTATTCTGATGCTCAAGGCAATGGGTATCAATGACCTGCTTAGTTTTGATTTTATGGACCCGCCGCCAGCGCAGACCATGCTAACTGCGTTGGAGTCATTGTATGCGCTTTCAGCGTTGGATGACGAAGGTCTTTTGACTCGCTTGGGCCGCAAGATGGCTGACTTCCCCATGGAGCCGCCGCTTGCGAAGATGCTCATCGCCTCTGTCGAGCTTGGTTGTTCTGAAGAGATCCTTTCCGTTGTGGCTATGTTGTCTGTCCAATCTGTTTTCTACCGCCCAAAGGAGAAACAAGGTCAAGCCGACTCTAAGAAAGCAAAGTTCCATCAGCCGGAGGGTGATCACCTTACCCTTCTGACGGTATACAATGGCTGGAAAGGTGCAAACTTCTCAAATCCATGGTGCTACGAGAACTTCATTCAGGCAAGAAGCATGCGGCGTGCACAGGATATCCGCAAGCAGCTAGTGGGCATCATGGACAGGTGCGTGTAAATTCTTGAAAAGTCAATTTCGTAATTCTAACCATCTTTTCAGATACAAGCATGATATTCTATCGGCAGGAAATGATTACAACCGTGTGCGGAAGGCGATATGTTCTGGTTTCTTCCGGAATGCAGCTAAGAAAGATCCTCAAGAAGGCTACAAAACACTTGTTGAAGGAACACCCGTATATATCCATCCCTCTTCCGCTCTTTTCAACCGCGCGCCCGAATGGCTGATCTATAACGAGTTGGTGTTGACCACTCGCGAATACTGTCACAACGTCACTACTATAGAGCCAAAATGGCTCGTGGAGGTTGCACCTCAATTTTTCAAAGTCGCCGACGCCAACAAGATTAGTAAGCGGAAGAGGCAGGAAAAGATCGAACCATTGTACAACAAGGTATGCACCGCATCCGTACGAGACATGCATCTTAGGCTCACGCATTTCCTAGTACGAGAAACCCGACGAATGGCGACTATCGAAGGTCAAACGAAGTGCACGCTCGGTATGTAGTCACCCAAATGCTGCCTCGATTATGTGCTAATCCTGCCAATAGAGTCAAACATTTGGTTAAACCCTCGCATAATTGTTGTATTATTTTACTATTTATCTGTAGCTGTAAAGTATAATGCCGCCGTTGATCAGCCTGCTGCAATCTGCTGCTCGCTGTCCATAGTAGATCACTTAAAGATGACTGATGGTGGCGGCATGGTTCTGATACTGCTATTGTTTGCTAAGGCACCAGACCTCGCGCAATAACTCGGTCAGATGATCCCCGATACCCGACAGATAATGAAACCTAAGAACAACGATTAGGATTACTGAGAGCAGCTCAGTGATGGGAACACATACTGGTATATGTGCGTCGACGAGCCTTAGCCCACAAATCGCATAGAATCAGCATCCACATAGTACTTTGCAACCTCTCCCGCTTTGACTACTGGTGCCGTTGGATCGGGTACTAACATGAATGATTGGAAGAAGACTCTAGGCTGCCCATCGACTGATTTGACCGGTGTCGATACTGGATTGCCAGCAGGACCACGTCCATGGGTGACATTGCCAGATACCGTGACAAGAAGTGATGGGGGTTGAGAGCCTGCGATGACATGAAACATGTGTGAGCGTTTATGTCAATGCGGGGCATCACAAGAAACAGACCTGGTATAGGATGGCAATCGTAGGACTGAACTTCATGCCTGGTACTTGGCATATCTTGGATAAGTTTTTTCACACCCTCAGCACCCTGACATGGATTTCCGTTCCAAGTCACGGTCGATGAGGAGCGATAAAGTTTGGGGAGATCATCCACCCTTGTAGGGGAGTCATATGTGGTGTAGTACAAACGCGTAAACGCGTCTGCTGCCCTTGTCGCGATCTCGATACTTATCACAGTTGAGATTAGAAATTTAGTAATACAAAGTGCAATTACAACACTTACTCATTTCGAGTGAAAGTTGTAGTGGTGGTCATGGTTCAAGACAAAGGATTATAAGCGATGCTTACGCCAAATCGATAAGATAGAAGAGGCACAAACAGAACAGCAAAAATGGCTCATTGATATGATAACAGCTACATAGAAATATAGGCCTAGGTAGTAAAACTGAATTAATCTAATCAACCTACAAAGAATCAAATTGTCATGATTAACGGCGACGATGGTACGGAGTAGTGCTAGACGCCTGAGATGCATATGGTGTTTGAGCTTGAGAAGGTGACTCAGGAGGGTGGCCTGAGGGGTTGAAGGCACTTGTGGGTTGGTGAAAGGAGTATGGTAGATGCGTTGTGGCGAAAACGTTTCTGAATTAAGTCAATATTCATGGTGATTGTGCGAGCACAGCCGTGGAGCTCAGGTAAAGACCACATTGTAACAAAACAGGACAGTTACTTACGCCAGCTGAGCACTGTATGTTGAACAGATCCCAGCTTGCTTGCCTGATCAACGATATGCATCCGCGAGGTTGTAGGCGAAAAGCAGATAGTCACGGTCGTCGGTGATGCATTGATGCATGACATGTCGCTGACAGCGGGCGCACGACGAAACTAGGTAAAGTAGTGGACACGTGATATATGCTCCTGTGAAACATCACGTAATAACCAAGAGCGGCTTAACCGTCGGACCTTTGGGACCAAGAGTAACGCCCAACATGGCGTGTAGGAAGTAGTACCGCATCCATTAATGTCATCCAATAGCCATTCTATAAATTTGCACCAGTCCGAGGTAGCAACTCACTCGTTGCGGTTACCTTCTACCACCACCATGGCAGAACAAATTCGAGTTGTTACTCTCAATTGCTGGTATGTCATCTCCGAGTCTCCAAGCACATGGTCAGGTTGATTCTAAGAGTGATGTAGGGGCTTGAAATATGTCTCTAAAGACCGGCACGAACGAGTTACCGCAATAGCTAGTGCGCTCGCTCGCTCGGATTACGATATCATTGCACTCCAAGAAATCTGGGTCGAGGCAGACTACAATGAAATTCGGCAAAGTGTCGTCTCTCGCTTGCCCTACACGAAACTTTTTCATAGGTAGTACGTTTCTTGTGTGGTGAGTACACGGGCTTATGCTATTATAGCGGTGCTCTTGGTGCCGGACTTGCTATCCTTACAAAATGGCCCATCATTGCTACCAGCATGACTCCATACTCTCTTGTTGGCGAACCCACAGACGCCTTCGGAGGAGACTGGTTTGTAGGAAAGGGCGTTGGGAGCGTAACGATCATGCACCCGGTTCTTGGACCGGTTCAACTTTTGGTCACCCATGTAAGCCCGCCAATACACATACTATTTTTTTGGTATTAACAATGCATTCAAGTTCTGTGCAAAGGCGGGGAATCAGGTCCCGAGTACAACAGAACATACCGCCTGGTGAATGCTTGGGAGTTTGCGAAAGTCACACGGCAAGCCGCTGAATTGGGGCGATATGTGATCGCCGTGAGTTGGATGCTATCTGTTCCTCGCACGTTGCTGATACATAAATAGATGGGTGATTTCAATAGCATCCCAACAAGTCTCCCGGTGAATATCATCCTGAACTATGCCGGACTGGTTGACTCGTGGGCGACTTCACATGCACACATACCCCCGCCCTCTGGGATGTTATCTCCCATAGAGGGTGTCATCAACTATGGTGTCACTGCTGACTCGCCTCTTAATTCTTATCGTGATTCAGAGCCCTCTGGCGACCCAATTGTTCGCAAATACCAAGGGAAACGCCTTGATTATATCTTATTCCGGCATCCCAGCCCCAACGGGTTCAATGACCACCTTCCCCGATTAACCTGCCGAGATAGTCAGGTTGTCTTCACCGATTCCATTCCCGGAAACTCATGCTCCTATTCTGATCACTTTGGTGTCGAGGCGACCCTGGCTATTGACATGCAGGCGGAGGGTAAACAAGATGATATGGCGTCATTGAAAGATACCTCAGCAGTGTGGTTCAACTCCCCCTCTGAACTTTCCTCGAATGTCGTCACCGAGGTGATGAGCGCCGTCAACACATCCTACAGGATGTCGCAAGATCGTTCTCGCAAGGAATTGACTATCTTTGTAACGAGCATCTTGGTGTTGATTGGTCTCATTATTGGATCCGCATGGGTTGTTGTTCCCTGGCTCAACCCAGTTTTTGTGCTTCTTGTCATTTACTTATCGTGGCTGGCTACGACAAACCTCTACGAAGGCTTCATCTTCGGGAACTGGGAGAGGAAAGCTTTACAGAATGTTATAGAAGAGCTTGAGCTTTACAAGCAGATCCTGGTATCACAGGCACCGCACGACTGGTAGAGAGTATAGTATTATCGGACATTCCATGGAGTGGACTATTGGCTATGTGTTTTGTTATATATATATCTGGGCGTGAATTATGCGAATGACATGGCAACACCGATGTGTTTAAGGTAGTACTATACAAGGTAGGTAGTTGAGGCAACTGATGTCATAGCGGCCCAAGATGTTGCGAGAGCAGGAATATTGATGCGAGGACGCGAGAATTCGGAGGGAGACGAAGGACGAGTTGGTGTAGGTGATAATGTGATTTTTTTGCGACGAGCGGGCCAGTCCTCCAGATATTGGGATGCGACTGATCTCTCGGAGAAAACGGAGAGAGCAGACTGCATCCGCCGCAGAGCTGGGGTGGACGCCACACGCCGAAGAACTCGGGATGGATCGGTGACAGTTACACAAGGCGTAATTGGTTCTGCCTCACTACCGCTGGAATCAGGAGTCTCCAAATCCAGCCAAGTGCGGCCCCAGCTCGGAGGCACTGCTGAGCTCAATTGCGCTTCGTAACTCTGGTCGATATTTTCTCGAGCCATCTGTTCCTGAACCTCTTGCCATCCCAAGTTAGTCTCCACACCGTCGCCGCGGACGACGCGGACGTTGTCGTTATCTGTGTCGTTCTCGAGGCAAATCTCGGTGTCACTATCTAGAACCTGAGGCGAGTGGCTTTGAATACAAGGCAACTTGTGTCGCACGAATTCGCGACAAGAGACAAAGGCAGTTGTCGCAACATTCAAGAAAGGAAATGCTTGAAAAACATGAATCTTGAACAAACAATGATCAGTGCAACAAACGAAAAAATAGATGAACTTACAGCATCTTCGTAGGTCTCCAACTGCACCTGGACACCGGCCAGTGAAGCTTTGTGTGAGAGAAGCACGATTTCGTCATGCAGAACCTCCGCTTCGCCACATTGAATAAGCATGGGTGGTAGTCCATCAAACTTGCCAAACAATGGGCTGGCGTATGGATGGGTAATGGACTGCTCGAGTGTGTCTCCTAGATACATTATAACGGGGTGCAAGTGAGCGGTTGGACCGGGAGCAGGAATGATGTCGTAGGCAGCATTGGTATCCCACGATTCGCAGCTCAAGGTCAAGTCTGTGATTAGTATGTGTCAGACTACCCACAAAAAAGTGCATCAATCGCTACATACCAACCCAGGGAGAGAATAACATGGCACCTCCCGGAAGAGTGTATCCATTGTCTCGTAGATAGAGCAGGAGTGCAAGGCCTAGTGCACCGCCTGCACTATCGCCCGCTACAACTAAATTTTCTGGCGGCACCCGCAAGTCATCCGTCAGGCGGAAGTAGGTGCTAACCACGTCGTGCAGCTGACCAGGAAAAATCGTTTCCGGAGCAAGCCGGTAATCGATGGCTTGGATTGAGGTGAGGCAAGAATGGCAGTGCGAACTGTGATCAAGGAACTCACCAAACACGCGTGCGTTGGTATATTTAGACAGTGGTATGGTCAGCGTTCTTTGTGCTGCAGCGCTGGATGAATAATATGCTCCTGAAAATAAAATAAAACGCTGCTTTGTACAGAGAGCACCACGAACTCACCGCCGTGAATGTAGAGGATGATTCGAGATTGGCCCTTTCGAGAATCGTAATCAATTTTCGTCTGGTCGACAAAACTGTCCCAATCCCCTGTTCTGCGAGTGGACTTGTAATCCGATTGCAAAGATTGCCAGAGTCTCTTCCCGATTATCCACTCCCCAGAAAGTTCACGTTTTCCGTCTTCCATAGCATCGCAAGCCTCCAGCATACCACGAAGGTTGCGTTTACGCACACGGAAAGTCACTGGAGTGACTAAAGCATCTGAGGGTAAGGGAACTAGCCCTCCGATACTCATTGCCTTGCGAACCATAGCCTAGGGTTGTTGTCATTGCTAGGATTGCGAACGACACAAACGACCTCACGATATCAGCCAGTGCAGAATGCCTCGAAACATCCCGCATGAGACTAGAGAGTATTGTCATCTCGATTCCCCATGATTTCCTGCGCGGGCCCCAAAGATGATGAGATATCACATCAAGAGCAAGGCATGATGCTGGATGCATGATGTCAGGGTCCAGAATGCATTAAATCATTGGTAGAGCGCTGCGGATGCTTACCTTTATTGAATGCGAAGGCGGGATATTTCCATGCGTCCCAGACTTTCATAGTGAAGCCATTCGTTGTTCTGAGACTCCGGTCAACGCGTGCAGACGCCGGGAAGACGCCGGGGGAATCAAATTCCTGCAGTAGAGCTACCGCGGATGATTTTTTTGTTACTACGGGGGAACTAGCATTGGATCCATGATATAGAAGTCGCAATGAATCCCGAAACATCTTCGGTGTGCAACACTGCAACCTCAAACAGGTGGTTAAATAAATGGAGGGTCAATAGGGGGTGTCAAATTCCGGTAATGTGATGGACTGAATGGCAGAGCAGGCGTGTACTGGAGGTGTGTTGGACGTGTGCTGATATAAGGACAACGGTGCTGCTCTTGTCGAGTGCTCCATGACGAATGTCCGAATCGGAAATCACGTGACTGAGTAATCCATCACACAATGATGCTGACGATGTCGATGACCTCGATGACCGTTGGAAGCGCCAATTGCCACATCAGCACAAAAGGCCGCATCTGTACTGATCTGTACTTAGCGCTACAAAAAGTTGACATGTCTGGTAACGCCCGCGCAAGCGGTTCAAAGGGTCTCATACCAAACAATTTACCTGTGGACTGAAAACCGGCTAGGGAGACCCTGATAGATGACGACCGCGAAAATAAAATTGGTGTGCATAAGTAGTATCTTACATATTCAATAGTCATCGCCTCGACTGATAACCTCCTTAACGGTGGGCCGAAGAAGGATTGTGTGCTCCTATTTGCCACGTTGAGAGACCAAGTTCGAGACCAGAAATTGAAAAAGGCTTACAAATTGCGCGGTCATGGAACCCTTGGCATCGCAAAGCGGTGGGTAGTCTTGAACGATCCCTTGTTGCACAAGATGGTTAAGCTAATGTTGGGCCGAATTAGTTAACGATGGAATGCCTAGCAAGTCGTGTGACCAACCGCTAGTAGATATTTGCTTTCACCCACGCGATCCAAGTACCGTCGGCAAAATGGAAGAGTTCCAAAGTTATTGCTGATTGACTTGAGTAGCGACTTGGCAGAAGTCAGTCTTGCAATTTATAGACGTCAATGGTTGTCATATTGCGGCAATAGGGATGGCTAACCTTAGGGGGACGCGGGGAGCGTCGATAATTTTTGCGTAATGCGAGCACTCGCCCTGTCAACAGAATCAGCCTCTGACATATGCATTCGCAACCCAAGCCTACGCTTTCAACTACACGTCCACGACCTGTCGAGCCGAAGGTTTCAATAGCAAAATATTCGCCCTCCTCCATTTTCGTTTGATCATCGTTCTTAACAAGTTGAACCGATTTTCCGCCATGTATCTGGTAAAGTCCTATAGAATGCCCGCTAAGGTTTTCTATCGACTTGACTGAAAACATGTCAGAGGAGTCCCAAACAACGGACGAAAGATGATTACCTGGATATATTTTCCCGTTGACCTCAACCTCGTATGACTCCATAGTCTCTTGGATAGCACCTCCGATTTCGCCCAAGCGCACGTCGATACCGGATTCCTACGCATACTTCTGTAAACTGTAGTCGAACACGCTAAAGCTAAACTTGGCTTACCCTAACGCCGGTATCAGTAGCAGCCTTCACTGCTTCAATGAGCCTATCATAAGTAGGCTCAAAATTGAGCGTGAAAGCAGAATCGACAATGCGTCCTTTTACGTGCACTCCTATATCGATCTTTAAAACATCACCACTTTGAAGAACTTACCATGCATAAGTATCGAATTCTATCCATTTAACATATACACACCATTAGTATCCCCAGCGTTTGGTGTGTAATGAGCAGCACAATGATTCAAGCTGAGTCCAGTGGGAAAACCAATGCCCGACTCCAGTCCGGTTTCCTCGACCAGGGCACGGCTGCCATCTTCGATCAAGTTTGCGATTTCGGTCATAGTCATCCCCGGACGTATATGTTTCCGTGCGCTTTGTCGAACCTGCCGATGAACTTCTGCGGCACGACGGATACTCTGGTACGTGATCTCTGGGTCTTCCATTGCCATTCTTTCGTCATAGCGCTTCTCTTCGGACGTCGTCCTCCATGTATTGCTGTAAACAAGACGTTGTCAATCTCATTAAGGTATAACTTATTGGGGTTGCAATACTTACTCGTCCTTGTAGGGCTGAATCTCCCCCTCTGGATAGACACCATTCGTGAATATCTTCGACAGACCAACTCGTGGGGGATCTGACTGTTGCACCTTTTTCTTTTTAGATTTCTTCTTCTTCTTCTTTTTCTTGGTCTCTTCTGAATAACATGTGATGATAGTTTCGAGACCACCTTCGATTGGCTCACCTCCAGCGCCTGGAGTTTCGTCTACGACGTCATCTTCTTCTACATCGTCCTCTTCGTGATCCTGTGGCACGATGCTTTTTGGCTCAACTTGTTTATCGGCCTTGGATATCATTGAAATGTTCAATAGTTTCGATGGACAACTAATAAAAGCTTGCGCGGAATCCGTCAAGCGCAGCATCTACATTAGGTAATCGCGAATTTTCGCACCCCACTGTCACAAGGACAAACAGCGTCATGGATCAATGCATATTCGGAATCCCGGTGGAAAGTTGCTCATGAGTTAGTGGAATTGTGGAATGACAAGAGGAGCCGATAATAAGACTATGTAGTATACAAAAATATCGATACCAACAAGGAGATCTGCTCCAATAAAGAAATATGCTCGCATACAAATACGGATAATCATGCTCCGAAACCGTAAAGTGTGCGCCCTGAGCGCTTCAATGCGTAGACAACATCGAGAGCGGTGACAGTTTTCCTGTGTGCATGTCAACAGCTTAGCGAGAAGTTATACAGTCACGGGGCAAGGGAAGGCTCACCGTTTAGCATGCTCCGTGTAGGTAACAGAGTCGCGAATAACATTCTCAAGGAAGATCTTGAGTACACCGCGAGTCTCTTCGTAGATAAGACCGGAGATACGCTTCACACCTCCACGACGTGCCAGGCGTCGGATAGCCTGCGGATAAAGATTGAGCACCATTGAGACGATGAACATAGTAGGAGGACGCACGGGCTTGGTGATACCCTGAATGTTGTCACGCAAGATCTTCCGGTGACGCTTAGCACCGCCCTTGCCGAGACCCTACAGATTGTTCCAAAACATAGTGAGCTCTGTGGGTCAGAACCTGACTCAAAGTTACACACCTTGCCACCTTTTCCGCGACCAGACATGCTTCACGAGGGTTATAAGGGTTAATTGAAGAAAATGAAGAGCTTCACTTCGACGTTTGCGAAGATTGATTGTGGTAGCGAAGAAGAAAGGGTTGTTTGTCTCTGTGCACGCGTTTCGCGTTTGTTTAATGGCCCTCCACGCATCACGTGACAGAGGTGCCGGCATTTTAATTTTAATTTTCATCTCCGAGTAGTATACCAGATCTTGACCAGATTCCAAGTCACTTATCAATTGACTGTCGAGCATAATGCTGGTGGGTGGTCAAAGTGTAACGGAGTTCCTCTCGTCTGTATTACCAGTACCTGGGGATAGTAGCTTGGAGGATGAGTTTCAGCGACCCTTGGTGACCCTCACATTCGCTCAATCTCTTGACGCGAAGATAGCAGGCAAGGGGGGCAAACAGCTTATTCTTAGCGGCAGAGAAAGCATGCTTATGACTCATTGGTATGATACCGATCTCAAACTCACATATACATCCATCCCTTACTATTCCTAAGGAAGGATGCGCACCAACCATGATGCCATCTTAGTTGGCATTGGTACTGCACTAAACGACGATCCCCAGCTAAATAGTACGTCTCAAATCTCATCTGCGCATGTGACTTATGTAGGTACAACAAGGTCGCCATATCCCTGAGCATGAACGGCCAAGTCATCTGCCTCGTCCTGTGATACTCGACACAAACCTACGCCTTAGACCGGACTGCAAGCTGCTCAAAAATTATCGGGAAAGAAAAGGTCGCCGTCCATGGGTAATTTGCGATGCTAATTTGACCTCCGGTGACGGAAGAAAATCCATCCTCGAGGACGCTGGGGCAAGAGTGATAGGCGTGCCCTCGGTGGACGGTGGGTCATGTTCTTTGTTGTCTTGCAGCGAGTCATACGAATATCTTCAGGTTTCATCGTTATCCCGGACCTCTTGAAGGTCCTTTACAATTTTGGAATCAAGAGTCTCATGGTCGAAGGAGGTGCAACTGTTATCGGCTCTTTCTTGGCGGAATGTGCACGCACCAAGCCTAATACCATCATTGACACACTCATCATCACAATTGCTCCGATGCTGATTGGTGACGATGGTGTCGGTTACGCCGAGAAATTATTGGCTACGCAGGTATGAGAAAGGACACGTTCATGCAGAGTCATAGTTTTCACCTGAGGCTACATTAGATCCCCTCCTTGAAACACATCCAAACTGAGGTCATGGGGCGAGATGTTGTCATTGTCAGTGCATTAAAGTGAATACTGTTCGAGTGGGCGTTAGCTCTCACAGGATAACAAGAAATTGCAAGAACAACAAAGCAAGGCAGAATGACTTGTATGTTACATATATACAATGAGATAATTACTGGGTATAACAGTGGCAGTGTGATACAGACCGGCGCAGTTATTTGATGTTGATACGTTAAACAGAAGAATACGTATGTGATGGAAATCATTCTATGCATGGAAAAAGGCAGTATTGTCTTGTGCGTGGTCGCACTTATTAGCAATGCGGGTCGCAGCTTCGAGTGCCCTCTCAACAAGAGCGCGGGAAGGAGAGGTGACAGGAGTACTCTCCAAGAGATCTATCCCCGCAGGATTGAAAGCGATAGATTGTGGAATGAGGATAGAACATACCTCGATACAGCAAAACATATCTCGTGACTCGCTGTATGGGTTGAATTGCAAGATCCCGAACACTTTGCCTTCGAGCCGGATGCTCTCCTTTTGATCGACTGTGAGATTCGGCGTCACTGTAATCAAACACCTTCCAATAGTGTTCAACAATCCGTTGTCTATCTCTGATTCTACTCCCTGCCTCACTCATTAAAGTGAGGAGAGGGGGAGGAGAGGAACTAGCGGGAGAAGATCTTCCACTCGACTTCTCCACCACAGTAGCGAGAGGATTGTTTGTGCCGGAGAGCAGAGACTTGCGCAGACGCCATTTCCCTCCCGTGATGGCAGACTCGCTTTCGTGTCTGGGACTATTAGTAAAGAAGGTGCCTACCACGCTGCACCACGAAACCATAGCAGCTTCAATATCATCTTCGCAAGCCATGAAGGCGGTGGATACACCCCAAGCAGAGGGGTCATAGAGGAAGGCCTTCAACAACGCCTCTGATGCTCGTATGAGGTCAGGAAGGTATGTCAACAACAGTGAAGGTGGTTGATTCGCTGTCTAAATATATCAACTCAGTCACGACATTCCTTTGAGACGTCATATCGGTGACGAACCTGTCCCGTCTGGAGCATCTTGAGGGCTCCTTGGTATTTTTTCTCCGTCCCGACGATTTCTCGGATGCAAAGCAAAGCCTTTCTGGCAGTACTCCAGAGCGCAGCGTCGTCGATGTCCAACTCAACATCATCCGGAATCACAGGTAAGGGTGTCACAGATTCGGGCTCCTCCGATCGCCATGGCGAATTTGAATGGCTGGTAAGGTGATCTCCGAGTTGAAACAAATGGCTAGATCCTTGCTTAGAAAGTGGTATGCCATGGCTAGTGGCCCTCGGGACGGGAAGTGGCCGATATTTATCCTTGGAACTCCGTTTCCGTATGATTTCGAGATGTTCTACCACGGTTTCATCTGATATATTTTCGTCCATTGCCATGGATATACTGATCTCCTCGTCGGTTGGAACAGCACTGAACTGGGTATAATGCGAACTGCCAGAAAATGTCGAGACAGAAGTGCTCATTGGAGATGTACCAATCCATGCCAAAGACGCAAGTGCTTCAGTGCTGGGACTGGCCTTTTGAGTGCTTGATGCTGGTAAGGTAATGGATGCACCACTATGGTAGCTTCTCCGCGTGGGTGACAACTCAAAGTTCGTTCGCCGATCGTGCCATGGCTGATGTAGAGGCTAACAGGTAATAAGTCAACGATGGACCAGGTGCACTTGGTGCTGGAACTCACTATGTCTAGCCGTAGTGGTGAGGGAGGTGTAACGAGTGGTAGAAGACTTTGGTTGCGGACGTCCTTACTGGAGTTTGATTCTTGGTTGAATGACGACGGGGTACTGGCCTCCTCTGACGCAAAGTGGTATGATGATGAACTTGAGACACGAGAAACCGATGGTAAGCATTGCCTAATCAACTTTGACTCGTCTGTGGCATGAGTTTCCTCCGAGGTAATGCGGCATGATGGTTGGGATAAACTTGAAAAATGCGACATTGCTGCTGACCGTCGCTTGATCAACTCTGCCCTTCTTTGAAAGGAAAGCTCTGATCTAGTGATATGGCCATCCTCTGGCTGCGGTAACGACGGCGCACCGGCACCGGCGGGATAGGGCTTTATAGGGTCGGGGATCATGACGGGCGAAGTTTGGGAGGAATGGACTAAAGTCGTTGCCGGACGGCGATCATTAGGATGAACATCGATATCAATATGCGATGATGGTAGGTGATATTTTTGGAACTCCTGAGAATGACGAGATTGTGGAGCACCACTCGGTCCATGTACATTGTCCCAAGTCCGCGGCGCAGGTAGAGATTCAAAGTGAAAAGATGACGGAGGGGATTGTGACTGTGATCTTGTATGCATCGCATGAGGATTCGGAAGGCTCGGCATCTTCAGCGTGGGCTGGTTGATGACGGAATGTTGAGGCAGTCCCAATTGCTTATGATACGTGCGAGGATCGCTAATGAATTGGCTAATAGTGGGTGATATCGGCGAGGGGGGCATGTTTTGAATGCGGTGATATGCATTGCCTAGCCTTCCCTCTAAGTCTCCACTTATTCCAGGAGAGTCGTGACATGTTCCAGGGCAAGCGGCAGGCAGGACTGCTTGAGTAGAAAAAAAGTCGAAATTAGCGCCTGGAGTAGTACAACCTGTCTGAGCACTCCTGCCGGAGTCACGGCTGTCTCCATGGTTTTCCACTGACACCCAAGACTCTTCCGTTGGAAAGGGTCGCACGCCGTTGGTACGGGGGATATGTCCGGATGTTTTACGCAGCTCCGAGTCAGCTTCGAACACAGGGACAATGAGGGAACTGGGGATTTTGCCGTCAACAGGAGAGTTGGACTCGGAGTGTTTTAAAGGGGTTTCGCGAGGGATGGTCTTTCGGAAAGGAGATCGCAGTTTCGACCAGATTTCCTCTCGCCTGGCATGCTGCATGAGTGCCGAGGGTAGCGAGCGATGACAGGAGCTACCCTTGAGAGTGGTTCGGTTCCCCGTACACAGTTGAGTCCACCCGTCTGGATTTAAATAGATCCAAGCCTCGACTCTCAGAGCCAGATGCGGGGAAGGCGGAAAAAAGGTTTCGAGACCTCCGAGTCTTTAAACTACTAGTGGCTTGAGTACGCTCCTCTGGATGTCCTTGGCTTTTAGGCTGTTGCCCTTCTACGTCAAGCTCATAGCAGGAGGGCCTTTTTCGTCCCGAATGGTCACAATGGGGACCTCGGCATAGTATGTACGACGGTTTGGAGTGATGCTGTGATCTGATAGCATGATTAACCGAAATAGATCGGCTCTCTATCTTTCAAAAACAATGTTGCAATTTAACGTCAACGTTGCAGCTGACGTTAATTAATAATTAAGGTTTGGACCCCGAAAACTGTGTCGGAGAAAAGTATCGCCACGAGCTCGCACACAGCATCCTGGCGTCCTTGAATGCCGCCATCTCTTTGCATCCTGCCCGTCACTCCACTATCAGTGTCTGCATACATGTTACTTGGTCATAATGCTATATTGCATCATTATCTCGCCCATCAAATCAAAGACAAGTTGGTTCACGATCAACTTGGACAAAACATTGTCAAGGAGATGGCTACACTATTTATTGAAAACCCGTCCGAGCAACGTCCGAGGCGTGGTAACATTAAGCGGGAAATAACACAGTTCGAAATTTGATAAGGTAAGGCGTAATAATGTATGATGTAGACGTGATCTGATCCCGTAAGCATCCATATATGATACTTTTGTATTGCAGAGGGTAGTAGACACGAGGGAGACGGGATGAAGAAGTGGTGTATGGGGAAGCGCTATTGTGCAGGATGACTCCAATCGAGGTCCATCCGTCGGTGCTGAGCGCTGATGTCCGTAGGCTCTAGGAAGTGAAAACGCGCAGATGGGGCGAACACGGTATCGGAACAGTACAGAATAGGTACATGCGAGAGCGAGGAAATAGGCTTACCGAGGGGTGGTCGAGGTCTTTGCCACTGGACCCGTGTTTCCCACCTTACTTCCACTGGAGCACTGTATCGGCCACCTTGTAATGAACCACCTGTTAATGTGATACCGTACAACGCGCCACCGGCGTGCCCTTGTTGAACGTTTAACGTTGATGCTTCAACTAGCTATTCGCATTCTTTACTCGCGCGGTTCACCCACATTTCTCAGGCTTTTCGTCATCCCATCCTGTGGTTTGCGGCCAGATTTCCGGTTATCCTCCTTGACTGCATTATCCGAATCACCTGGCTTCCACTACTGCGGTACAGAACAGTCGCTTCGATAAATGGAGTACCGCTTCTCATATACACGTCTTGGTCATGCTGTACGGGTTCTCTTCGATATGGATTCTAATCAGATAGCTTGTAATAGTACACGATAACAAGACGATGCGGATCGATCTGCCGCTGCATATAAAGACATCGTAAATAGAAGACAAACAGAAGTTATCGAGGATCTTTATTCATCCTCTGAGCCATTGCTGTCGTATAGCACAACGTACTCAAGATTCTCAGGCTGGGAATGCGTATCCTGCCAGTCCGATCCATAGTCATCAGACGAAGGGACGCTGACCAATGATACTGACGATCCGTCAGAGGCCCCATCATCCGTCCCGTCCGTCGTAGGTTTGGACGTTGAACGATATGACGGTTCAAATAAATGACCAAGGGGTCCGACAGAATGAGCAGACCTATTGTCAGATGATGACTTTGGCATGACCATAGAAGATGATGCCAAAGAATCATCGTCAGCTTCATCAGCTGACTGACGAGGCTCGGTGACAGTAACGCTGTGAAAGGCATTAATTCGAATGCAGCCAGACAAAGAACCGAACGTACTCAATCCAAACGCTAGGACCAAACATTTCGCCAGCACCGTCCGTCAACTTCCAGTAACTGACATATCTACCAGGAGCATCGGGTGCCTGATAGGCAATATGCTTTAGCGATTACAATTGTACCAGACCCGACAAACGAACCTTCAGGTCACCGGTCCACACATCAAGAGCTTCACCGGGATCAACACGTCCTACTTTGACAACAATCGAAGAGTCAGCTCCAGGTGAGAAAGACTCCCCCGCAACGAAGTGGATCTGAGTCGTCTCTGGCCAAGCCTTGTCCCCATCGTTTAACATCCGCCAGGACTTAACGAACTCAGCACCAGGTGGAAAAATCTGACCGCTAGGAACTGTCGTGTCGGATACAAAAGCACAGCTGAAAGGTGTAATTCCCGCCTGTTGCTGTTCTAGGCTGGGCGTAGTAGTGGCTTCTTCATCTGTGACATCTGTGACGCTATCAGGGAGGGAAGGAAAAGTTCTACTGGATGGAGTGGGTGCTTTAGAAGCGACAGGGGACGGTGTACGGAAACCACGTAGAAGTCCAGCAAAATCCATCGGTGGAACATCAAAAGACAGCGTCGGGATTACAGGCGACTCTTCCTTGAGGAGTGAGTCCACAGATTCTGTAGGGCGAATTGCTTTGACAAGAGAAGTGGTAGATTCCACCAGCTTTCCCAGATCGGTTTCGATGGCTTTGTCGGAGTCGGCCACAGAACTAGACGGATTTACTTCGACTTGTCTTGCTTCAGTGAGGTATTTCATTTCTCGATTCACTTTTGGCCAAACTTCACGAAAGATATCGAGTGAAGGGTTCAGGTCGAGGGGTGGCGAGTTCACCTCGACGGAAGAGCGATCAATCGCCTGGACCAAGTTACTGTAAGGTGAAGTCGATTGTTCGCGATCAACAGTGGAAGGCTTCTCGGACTGTGACAATTTAGACACAATCAGAAACGGCACTAGAAGCCAACAAGGGTTACACTGACCTCGACAGGTCTGATCACCTGGTAGCAGGAGCTGGTACTTGATTTGGTGGGAGACGAGGAAGGTTCTTTGCAGTTAGGAGTGACAGACTGCGGGGGTTGCGGTAATTTAGCAGGAGTTAGACCATAACCCCAAGAAGCGACAGAGTTTTCACTGACGCAATCGGGGCACTGTGCTAAGATAGCAAGGGGACTCAGAGACTCGGGAGCAGGAGACGGCTCCTCTTCTTTTTTCACAGAAATCTCGGAAGAGGTGCGCGATACAGAAACGGATGGAGATTTCGGAGGACGAGGTTTAAAAGTCTCGGGAGGGATGCTCCCCTGAGATGTCCTTCGAGAATGGATGAGATTGGTCATCCCGACTCTGTACACGGTAGGGATGACCGTGTCTGGAGTCTTCATCTTCAATAATGGATGAATAGAAGGGTGGACCGGGATAGGGAGAGCTTCGCAATTCTGACACAGGTCGAAATCTGGACAACTAGGGTGCATGCACTACACAAAACACAAGCGTCATAAACATAAACATCAATGAATCCCGACGAGCAATTACCTTATAACGGACACCACGAATGGTCTCGCGGCAAGCTGATGGCGCAGCTGATTATTTGGTGCTCACAATCAATAGAACGGGACTTACCATCACACGTCGCGTAGTGAGTAGTTCTGTTGGTCACTGCATTGCGCATCTTGGATATTTGTGAGATGGGTTTTTCTTCACAAAAAGAACATTGTTACCACAAGGTCGCTCGGCTTGCTCACCCGCACAAAGCCGTGATAAGGATGTTGCTCTCCAGTAATCCTGATCACCAAAATGTCAATGCTGACTATGCTTTATAATAGAACACGTACTTGAAGCAGTCGGCACAAGTATCAAAATCTTTCAAAACACCATTAGCACTCTTAAGATCATCCAGAAGTGGACTTTTACCTGGACAATTGACACATTTCTGGGTAACCATGAGTGGTAAGAAAGTGGGATTGCAGGAAGCTGACTCACGAAGCGATCACCAACAATGGGAGAGTCACACAGGTTGCAAGCCGCGCAATGACGAATAGTCTCTATGGTGCTCACTGGCGTCGCCGCGGAAGTGCGAGGACTATCTGCTGTGGTACTGCCACTGTTTGGTGAAACATCACGCTCCCCGCTTCCACTAAAGACCGTATGAACGAGCACTCGTCCAGGTATTTCAATGTCGAAGAATTCGTGGAACGGATTGTGCCTCTCTGCAGCACCTGACTCAATACAGGGCGTGCATAGATCATAGTCTAGGACGGAGAATATATAAGATGACTGCGTTGTGACATTAAATCATATAATCTTACCAGGACAATCCAGGCATTTACGTCTGACACCAACAATTATTTCGTTGCAGTTGTCACAAAGAATATTTCGGTGAATGACAGGCGTGTTTTGGCTAGGCTCGGCATCAACAAGCTCAGTTCTGGTAGACTGAGATTCTGCAGATATTTCCGCGGCTGACGGTGTGATGGCGATTGACGGTACAGTTTCATGCTGCTGGACAACGTGAGTTGGCCCAAAACTGAACGTGTGCATAGCGCCAGATTTGGAAAAACAGCTTGGACACTACCAGATAGTTCAGCGAAACAAATGTCACTAGCAAATGAAAGTGCTTACAACATAGTGCCACGGGCATTTCACACACCCATACCAGCTTCCAGAAAACTCATTCCTGCAGACGAAACACCAATGTGATGAAAGAGGTTCCATTGAGACGTTCATTGTGTTGAACGACGCCTCTGACGAAGCATGAGGAGCCTCGTTGGATGCTCCCGCTCCAAAAGGGGTCTGCCGATGAGATGTATCGACTTGTGCTGAAGCATTGCACTCGCCAAAAGTATCGAGTATGATACGATCAATATCTTTCCTGAAAGATGTCAATAAAGTTTCCATTTCCGACTTCCCTTTGGCGACTGAGCAACATGACTTAGGGGAGGCCGCTTGATACGAGAGAGAAGGAAGACTTGGAAGAGAGGGATGCCTAGAGAGAGTAGGTGGTTCTGAGAATATGATAGGTGGTGGCGGCGAAATGAACGAAGGCGAGATTTGAGGCGCAAGAAAACTACCTTCAAGGGTAGGAAGTGGTCTAGAAGGTGGCGGTGGATGAGCCGCCTTGAATGATAGAAACTCCTGGAAACGTGTATCGAAAGATGACGCGGATGACAAATTGGGTGGTGGAGGAGTCGACAAAAGTGTAGGAGGTGGAGGAATCGCCATGAAGGACAAAGGATTAAGGACCTCCCGAGAATCTTCGACCGTTGCGCTGGGTGCTTTGTGGGGAGTCTCGTCGAAGATAGAGAACCTAAGCAGTGGGTTGGGCCAGCGCCTGCGTAAAGGGGCAATACGAGTGTTATACTCCTCTGCGTTATGGACTTCTTTTCCAATTAGAATACGAGACGTCCTAGACACGTCAGGAGAGAAAATGAGTTTAGAAAGATAATAATTATGGCTTATAGGAAATATGCGATACAGCTACAAATGCGAAACGTCAGCGCTTCAGTAGTGAGAACAGATAAGCGAAGAGTAAGCATACCTGCTGGTAAAGCTCCTCGTATGTGGGGAACAAGACAGTCCCTGAGAAAGAAAACTTGCGAGTCTCGTTTCGATAAGTTGCCTTTACTGTGAACATGGTAACGTCCAAGAGAAGCTGGTGGGGTTCCCGCAGCTGACGCAGTGATTTATATTAATCGCGCCGTGACAATGGTGTGACCAAGGAACGTGACGTATTGTGACACAAATACTCTCGGGAGTTCGGAAGCGAGTTGTGGCTATGTAGACGAATCCCAAATTCATGCTACCATAGTGTATCATCCCTGTTGTCTCTGTACTGCACCAACATTTCTACACTGGTCATTTTGAGGCCTCACCGATCGGCAAACGCCCTACAATCATCACGCTGCGCCATGGATCCAACACATTGTCATTCACTAGCTCGCATAATACACCTAGAGGTTGATTGCCAATTAGTCAGGGCGCATAAATCGACACCAGTTTCCGCATAACCTCTGCGTTCCAAATCACCGGCCTATCGTGCTCGCAAGGGTAACATATGTCATGGGTGGCTGAAATCAGGCACCCTCGGGGTGCACCGTGGAGTCCAGACTCCACTAGCTTGTGCACGGTCACGGGCGGAAATCCCTGTTGTAGTGCCTCGAGATTATATTAGGGTATGACATACCGTGTTTATAGTAGTCTACGGTAATGTTGTAGGTGGTTTTGTGTCGCTCCTGGTTATCGGGGACCATCATGGGAATTTTAAGATGCTCCTCAGGAAGATATATCCAGACGTACCGCTAGAATGGACGTGAAGACAGAATATATGAGTGGAAAGGACTCATACCTTGTGCGCTTGATCATCGATGCCATTGCTTCGACGGAGCATTGGCTTGTGGAAATAATATTGATATCGCCCTTCGCCCGTCATCCATGACAACAATGGGTGGCTTCGCCCCACGCGAATGCGTCCAGCGACTCCTCTATCGATTGCATCAAAGGAGAAATTGGTTCTCAGCTGCACCCTTTACTTGAGTGGGATGCCAAGTAGGGTTAATGGAGTCTGCAAACTCCATTCACTTTGGCAAGTGCATGGTGCTTGCCTGGAACCACTGCTGTGACCATTGTAGTTACTTCCGGCGGTCTGGCGTTGGCTGTTGAGTCCGGCAGATGCATAATGACCGGCAAATGCTGATTTATGTAAAGCTCTTGATCACTGCAGCGCCCATAAGCAAGAGGAGAGAGAGCGACAAGTATAATATTGTTATGTTTCAAGTAAGCACCGGGTCCGCTTGCAAGTCTTTCCCGCGTTCGATCGGCTGTTTGCGGAAAGAGTGTTAAATTTTGGTTCGCCGTAACACGGCAAGCACTTCTTAAAGTCTTTCTCCTACCTCGACCTCGAAGCCCGCGCTTGCTGGCAAGGCTCCTTCAATCAAGGACCTCTATAGATATTTGTTTAGAGTCTCATAAAATATTAGCGATGTCGCATCTAGCACCAACTGGCAAGTGGGACGCAAGGTAATTTATTATCTTGTATCATGTGGAGTTTATTTTCATTTTGTGCTTTTCGAAGATACCTTGGCCCTGTCCCCCACGACTCTTCATACTATGCCAAGTGCATGCTCGGTGGTGTTCTTGCATGCGGTATCACTCATGCTGGTATCACCCCTCTTGACGTGGCCAAATGTAACATGCAGGTCAGTCTATCCTGTCCTTCCAGGCCCCGTGTCGCGTCTCATAACTTTTTCGAACAGGTAAATCCTGCAAAATACAAGGGTCTCACGTCTGGTCTTGCGACTCTGCTTCGTGAGGAGGGTCAGACCGGTATCTGGAAAGGCTTTGGTCCCACCTTTGTCGGTTACTCGTTACAAGGCATGTTCAAGTACGGTCTTTATGAAGTGTTCAAGGACCAGTACATGAACTTGGCTGGCGAAGAGCTTTCTAACAAATACAAGCCCGCCATCTGGCTCGCTGGTTCTGCATCGGCAGAAGTTTTCGCTGACATCGCCCTTTGCCCTCTTGAGATGACCAAAGTCAAGATCCAAACTAGCCCCAGCGGCACGTTCCCCACGGCCTTTGGTGCTGCCCTCAAGGAGATGAGCAAGACCAAGGTTGAGACCCGCTACCCCTTCGGCTCCCTTGTTCCCCTCTGGTCCCGTCAGGTTAGGCGTTTTCTTTTCCGAATGAATTGCTCACAACTTTTTCTTACAGATCCCTTACACCATGGCCAAGTTCTTCTTCTTTGAGAAGATTGTCCAGGTCTTCTACACTCGCGTTTTCACCGAACCCAAGGAGTCTTATGCTAAGACCACTCAACTCGGAGTTACTTTTGCTTCTGGTTACCTCGCTGGTGTTGTCTGCGCTATTGTCTCCCACCCGGCTGACTCCGTCGTCTCCCTCATGGGTAAGCCTGCAAACAAGGGCAAGAGCATTGGCACGATCGCATCAGAAACTGGTTTCGTCGCACTTGCAACCAAGGGTCTCGGCACCCGTGTATTGATGATCGGTACTCTTACTGGTACGTGTGCATCGTACTCTGTTTCAACATAGCTGACCAACATGTTAATTAAGGCTTCCAATGGTGGATCTACGACTCCTTCAAGGCGTCGATGGGTCTCGGCACCACTGGTGGCAAGTAAACTGCTTACTTGTCTGCATTGATAGTGGATGTGGTAGTCAGTGCCCACATCCCCTCCTTGATTGACTCGTCTAATTTATTACGCAGGAGGACACTTGATAGATCGTTTCTGGCAGTATACAGTTAGTTTACATTCATTCCCTTGTGATCCGTATTGCTATCCATTTACCCCGTACAGTCCGTATACTGCTTGCCATGCAATAGATCACGATCACCTTACGACAATACCACTGCATCCTCTTTGAGAGGTCTGCACCTGAGAACCAGGTTTGCTACATTATAAGGCTTGTTTGGATTTGTGTGTTGAATTGCTTAGGTAAGCTTTGGTATCAGGATTGGTCATCCTCGGATCCAGTCAAAAGACAGCCCAAGCTTAGGAGCAGGCCATCCTGTCGTACCAATGCATTAATTGAATGATACTCACAAGACTAATGTATATACTTGTGACGTGTGGGAACGATGACTATGCTGGCTGGTGCGGATGAGGTCGGACGGTCGGATATCCCAGGATCAAGATGTCGATGAGCTGGCGACTATGTGTGATAACTGTTATATATAATCAGTAGCGTAGTCATAGCGTTTGTTGTCTTCCAACTGGGGATCTGCTCTCCGCAGTGCTTCTACGATGTCATACGCCCTTCTCGCGTCCACACGATATGACCCCTTTTTAACATCATGTGTTTGGAACAATGATATAGACGGGCCATCACCTTATCTTCTCCTTCATTACCAAGCAGACCGTCTCATCGCGTCTGCCGCGCTCGATGACAAGACTTTCCGTCATGGAACCACTTTGTCCAATGTCAAGGCATTATGTGACAAAGTCGTCCGTGAGCACAATGATTCTAGGGGGGAAACTGCGTTGAAGGTGTCAACATTTAACACAAGATTCGTGAAACACTAACTCACAGTTTTACCAGGTTCGCGTCGTTTTAAATCCTTCTGGAGAGCTTTCTGCCACTGCAACCCCGGCTAAAGCGTTCACGAGCGATCCAACCCTACCATCTCTCTTCAATCCCTTAACAGACGTTCCCCCGACGCCCGTCCTCATCATTCATATTGATAGCCAGCCAACATCAGACACCGTATCATTGAAGACAACAGATAGGCAGGCCTATGACGACGCGCGTATCCGAGTTGGCCTCCAACCTGTAGGCTCGTTAGATCCACCAGCTGGTGATGCACCTGATGATGTCATCTTGTACAATACCCGGAATGCTGTCACTGAGTCGTCTGTTTGTAATGTTGCGTTCTATCGCAACGATCGTTGGGTCACTCCCCCTTTGGCCGCTGGTTGCATATCTGGCATTTTGCGACGATGGCTTATTGAACAACACCGTATTTTTGAAGCAGTAGAGGACGAGCTTACACTTGATAACATCAAGGATGATGAGTGGGTGCTTGTGTCTAACGGTGTCATTGGTTGCAAGTTAGGACGGATTAAATTGCATACTTCAACCGAGACGGGTGATGATGCCAAAGACTAGACTACTTTTACTGGTTTGCCGGAAATGCAATTATGAACTGACCTCTGTATCTACGTCCATAGTACTAGTATCTATGTCCTGACCATCAAACATTCCGTCATCCATCTCGCTCAAGATATAGTCCACCACGAAACTATCCTGAACGAGGCGGTCCATTCTTGAGAGATGCCGTTCAGTGTATGGGATCATACCATCGATGAGTTCCTTCAGTGCAGTGTTGCCGCTCGCGGTACTTTTCACGCCCTCTTGACCAGAGGATTGTAATATATCTTCCTGAGCTTCGTCCGTAAATGCCGCTATGACATCGTCCGCCGATCTCAGCTTCATGACTGCATACAACACCCCTTGCGCCACTCCGCTTGTCTTAGCATTGGGATTCCAGTCACGAACATAGCGTAAGAGGCGGGCAAGATCAGATCCGCCAAGGGTCCGTAATACCTCATCAACTGCATCATTGCCAGTCACCGACGATGCATCAGCTGCGAATTCCGATGAGGTGGCACGGATATCTTTAAACAGGGACAACAATCTCCCGGGCTGCTGCATAGCGAGGGCAAGTTGTATAGCTTTGCGATAGTCATGAAGGGACAAATAGTTCATGAAATCTTGCTCCCTGACAAAAACATGAGCTTGAACAAGACATGCTTGATGACTTTCAAACCTCAAGACTAGCTCGGAACGTTTAGCCTCGTTCTCCTGTGCCTGTTCCTCAGTGCAATCTTGCCAGAATGTCACTACAGAGTCCGCTGCTGCAGACACAATCACACGCTCATCCGTACTAACGGCGAGTGCCCAAACCTGCAAAAGAATTAACCTCAACTAAAATGAGAGAGCGAGCAGTCTTACCTTGTCTTCGTGATTGTCCATGGTAGCCGTACACTCTTCTTCGCGTACATTCCACATTTTGACAAGGCCATCGGATGCAGATGTAACGAGCTGCATGTCGTGATTGATAAAATCAACTCTCAACACCGAGTTGGTATGTCCCTCGAACGTTTTCACGCAAGTGAAATCTTCCAAGTTCCACAATTTTACAGTTTTATCGCCGCTTCCGGTTGCGAGCACACGTTCCGAGCGACCAAACTTGACTGTCCAAACGCCCCGCTTGTGACCTTTACAGGTTCCCAGTAGCTTGATCTCCCCATGTGCAGAGCGGTCTCCAGTTGCACATGAAAAATTAATTTCATATACTTTAGTTGTACGGTCTTGCGATCCAGATGCCAAGAGGCGGTCGTTGGGTGCGACATCGAGAGAATTAATGTCTTTCTCGTGTGCTTTATGAGTGGTCAAACTCTTGCACTTCATGAGGCTTTGGCCATGCTGGGAGGCATCGAAAACCAGTGGCACGTCACCAATATACCACATCTTAATCGTGCGGTCCTGACTACCACTGAACATAAATTGCACACTCGTGGTGCCAACTTCGCCAGAAGTTCGCGACATTGCGACAGTGCCTACGCTTTCTGCATGACCTTCACAGATAGCAACGCAGCCCCATTCTGTCAATAGGTCGTCGTTCGGAGACGTAGGCGCCCATAATCGAACAGAGCGATCTTTGCTTCCGCTCGCAAAGAGTTTGCCTCCCGCGCCATGGTCAAGTGATAACACGATTTCTGTGTGACCAGTCAAAAGCCGCGCATCAAGCCCTGTAGTTGAATAAACTCGGATGAGGGATGAATTTGTAGCGAATGCGATGTGAGAATCGACAGATTTTGGGGCATTTGGAGACAAGAAAACTGCATCAACGATCTCGTCGTTGAAACCAATGAGTTGCCGGTGGAGATTTCGGGTGTTCAAGTCATAGAACAGGATATTCTGGTCTGCATGTACTGAGACGATTGTCGATATTAACGGCAAGTAGCTGAAAGCGTGCTGTTAGTAACAAAAGTACACGCGAGGAAACTCGTACTAACATAGCTTCTACAATCTGACGCTGTTCCTCTTGATTTTCAGTCTGTAGATCTGCCACCTGGCTGAGGGAATATAAGACGGAGGAATCCTTTACGTCCCATATCCGGATGATACCTTTCTCCCCAGCAGTGTAGAAGCGCAGTTTGGAAGCGCTACTACTAGGAACCGAGTCCTCAGCTTGTAACAGCCCAACTGCCTCGACGCGTTCCATGACAGGAATAGTTTGAGTCAGTACAGGTGAATTGCTTTTCCCTTTCCCCTTAGTAGCTTCTGCGGATTTTGCTCCAGTCGACTTCGCGTGCAAGTTCCACACCAAAACAACGGAATCTCTTCCTCCGCTTATAAGCCATTTTCCGTCAGGAGTCACGTCCAAACCCCGGGGAACAGAAACGTGCCCTTCGAGAATAGCGATCGGACGTAGCGCAGCTTGATCTCCCTTACTTGAGGTCGCCGTTAGATCAAATATCCGAATGCGAGTATCCACAGAGGCTGTGATGAGTTGGTGTATATTTTGTGGGACCACGACAGAAGGGTCTCGGGGAAAGTTGAACTTCAACGCGCTCACAATGCCGCCGTGCCCTTTGAAGACATGAGTGATGTAGCCGCGTTTGATGTCCCAAACCTTGACAACACCGTCCGCAGAGCCCGAAGCAAGATATGTAGAGGATGGATCGATGGTGCAGACGTGTACGGGGGCATCATGTGCACGAGCAACCACCCGAACGGGATGAATTTTATTTTTCACGGCAGCAGTGGGGATCTCGTACACACGCAAAGAAGGAGTGGAAGTGAATACGATCAGTTGCGAAGCCGATGGGGTCAAACACAGCGAAGTAATCGATTGAGTGTCCTAGATTGCTTCAGCCATCAATTATGGCGTTTCCTAACGTTTTGAGGGCGGAATAACTCACCCCTGCAAACCGACATATTTCTTCGCCCGTCAAATGTTGGTGAGTACAGCTTCCTCTGCGACACAAGTAACGAGTCTGCTCCCATCACCAGTGACCGCGACAGATCCGCACGTATGAAGCGGTCCGATAGAACGCTTGTTTTTGTAGCTGCTCAGAAACTCAGAACGTTGGCGCGTGGAGATGGCAGGCAAAGGAACTCACACTGTTTTCAATCTGGATTTGCCACCTGTGGATGCCATCTAATGTGACTTTGGGTTGACTTCGGGGCATATACAAAATTCACGAGTCTATTTGGTTTTGTATCCTCTAATTTCCTTTTCCAAAACTACTCGTCCATTCCGCCGCAATATACATGTTCAGACACTCTAGAGTACCCTTGTACACCAATGAATTGAGAAAGTAAAGAAGATTCGTAGAATACGTCGAGTCCATTGATGAGTCCCAGTGAGTAGCTGAAAACTAGTTGTCGGATAGGAATCTCCAGGAAGGATAGCAGACGAGGACTCGTTTGGTTTCAAGTTGCGCTAACTTCGGTCTAAAATGTGCTACTGGTACGAGGAACGTGTCAACATTCATACATCAAATTAATAAAAGAAGGGACAAACATACTTTATGTAGCTCGGTGGTCAGCCTGCCACTGACGTTGCATGCGTGTAATCGTGTCCTCTGCTACTCGCCTCAACTTAGCTTCCTGATCTGCTAAATATTCAGCTTCCCTCCTCTTTATGACCTCCTCCTCCAGCATTGCCTCGGCTGTTCTGAGAGCAGTCCTCGCTCTAGCTGTCTCAGCCTGAGCTTCCGCCAGCTGATCTGATATCTTTACCGAAACAGATATCGCATCCGCAGACTGCCTCCGCAATCCCGCCATTTCGATCTGCAATCGGTCCACGAGATTTTCATCAGAATGGGTAATCAGTGCACGGGATGTTGAGGGGCTCAGTAAACGAGAAGGGGCCTCATTTAGTCCAAAAGCGCCAAGTCCGGCAAATGGTGACTGATGAGGGGGAACAACCATATCTTCCTCGCTCTCGTATTCATCCTCACTCATCTCATGTACGTCTGCACCTAGATCCATATCGTCCTCGCCATTTCCACCATCGTGGTCGTTTCCCCCGGTGCGTATGGCGGAAATATTGCACGGCGGGATCGAACGTCCCGAGCCCACAGCCAGTGAGTTCAGGGGAGATAACGGATCAATAGATTTTCGAGGTCGTCCCCGTTTCTTCTGCTGAGTGGAGTTAGATGGCTCCTCGGCAGCCTTTGTAGGTCTTCCCCGCTTCCGTGGTCGCTTGGTGCCTGGAGGAGCAGAAAGATTTACTGTCCAGTAAGAACCGAAGCCAGGGTCTGTGACGGGACGAGGCTGTTTTTCAAATAATCTATTCAAAGACAGGTGATGGCGAACAGATTGCTGTAATTCAAGTTTGAACGCAAAAGTTTTAGCCGTCACACCCTAGTGCACTGACCTTCCATGTCGGCCCCGCTGTCCTGAAATACAAATATTTTTCCTCCATTGCAGCATATATCTCGCGAATAGTGAGACGTCTCCGTGCACTGCCAAGGATTGCACATCGCAAGATTACTGGAAGAGTATGCTGTGGCCGCCCGTCCGTATCTGGAAGACAGGCTAGAGTGTCAGGACAATTTGGATGAGGAGCATGTTCTTTGTATGGTGGATCGTATTGAGGACATTCTACTGTTGCGTTGGCGCTGCCGTCCGAGGTGGGAGAGGAGGAGCTTGTGGAAATAGGTTGTCCGGTTGTTGAGCTGTTGGCGAATACAAAGGGGGTAGCAAACAGAGTTGTCAGAATAAGCCGCCAAAAAAATCCGAGAACAAGTGCACATACTGATACATGGTTGTAGAGTCATCTTCGGGGTTCAACAAATTTTTCAGACTCGACATAGTATTTCTGAGGGCGAAACATAGGTTGGCAGACAGTTGCAATCGTTCAATTTAGAGGTTCTTGTAGGTCCATTACATAAGTTACATAATCAATGTTGTACCTTCTAATCGAGTAACAGGAGCAGGAGATGAGGGACGATGAATTATTATTGGTGGCGTTCTACGCTAAGGAGACAAAGGTGATTAGCCCACTACATGCGATAACGATCAGGTGGCGCAATCTGATACTCGTAAGAATAGTCGGAGGTGGGATTTTGAACTCTCCAGTCTTGGTCGTTTGGTAAAGGATAATCCATATTCATCAGCGAAGATGCACCTGTCGATGATCCGTGATACGACTGAGGTGAAAGCTGGTTGGCTCGTGGCCACCACTCGTAACCTGGGTAATATGACGTCGAGGGCTCAATGCCAGGAATGTCAAGACCAAGCATATGCGCCATCATTCGGGTGCTAATCTCCTGGATACCGCTGTTCTGTGGAACACGTTCCCTTTGAAGAACGTCACCAAATGCCTCGCGTTGCAGTACGTCAGAGCTCCTTTCTCCAAACGCATCATCTGCCGCTCTCTTTTGACGATCAGGACCATGCACCAAAGGTGGCATGTTGCTGTCAACCTGTACTCTTACACCATTAAGAAGATCCCGGGCTCTTCCGGCGCTAGGCCATGTAATCTTAGCTAAGGTAAGATTAGGTGTGGATGATAGTGGCTCGGGCTGACCTGCATCTCTTTCAAAACGGCAAGACATTGTCGCAAGCCAATATAGGCCTGGACATTTGATGGCCGGAGGGTCACTGGTAAGGGAAGAGGATTCAGAAAGGTGCACGTCCTTCAAATGAAAGTACTTGCATGTCACGATGTGCATAATTCTGATGAATAGATATTACGGATTAGAAGTTACAAATTACTAATACAAATGATAAAACAAACCCAGCACTAAGAATATACGATGACAAGAACGGTGAACTACATTTAATATTGAAGTTCTCGTGATATGTCGTTACTAGGTTGAAATCAGCGTATATCAAATAAATTTAGTCGAGTGCACATACCTATTGTGCTGACATAAGTGGCGGCACTTTGACAGAGATCAAAGGCTTTTAGGGAGGCTGTATCAGATCCGTTGGGAGGATTCTGTAATATCTGTTCCGAGCTAGAGTAAGAAGATCAGAATGGGACTCTTCAAGGTATCAAAGTGACAGATGAATCACCCTTTCCAATCAGGGATACTGTAGAGGCATCAGTGACACCAATTGAATATTCCGACATTTAACGTACAACGCTCGGTGTAACAATAGTACTGCGGACCAATATTGGATGTGGATAAATAGAACCGCCAGTGGCGGAGTATTTCGCTTGCTAGCTGGGTCGTACCGAAGATTATCAGGAAGGTCGATGTACCACTGGTCCAGTCTAGACTCCAGATTACTTAAGACTGCCCGCCGTGAGCCTCTTCCTGTTGAGCGAACTGGATAGATCATTGTCACAATGGAACCAATCAAAACAGCTGCATCTCCATCAGGTTTGCACATAGTCTGCGGATAAGGTATACGAACATAGTGTTGCAGCAGCCTTGAAGCAGCTCATTGTCAGCGGTGTCGAAATGTGGTGCGACGTGGCTAGGTCGCCAGAGGTCTCTTCATTGTACTGCAGAAGAAAAAAGTGAGTGAATGACTAACACGTCGTGGGTTTGAGCGTACTTCGGCGGGATCCGGAAGAAGTGTATCAAAGTCGCCTTCACCGATGGACACGGGTCGACCTAGCAAGGGGGACGGTTGAGTACGCCAAAGAAGATGTACGAGACATACCCATATATATAGAAGTGTATCTATGAACAATCATTAGTGCAACCTATTCCCAGAGATACAGATTTCGCACTTGTCTGCAATGCAACAACCCCACCATATGTGTTTCCTGACCTGGTTCTCCTCAAGGGAGAACATTTTTCTTCCATTAAGTTGCCAGTTATCCGCAGCACGATTTAATCCAAGGTCTTGGGCCTACACGTAGCTCAGTACCCTGCCTTCAAACGATTCACCATACTAACCATCCTAATTGCCATACCTGCGACCGGAAAGCCATGAGACAGGGCCAGCATAAATCAACGACGCATACATACCAATGTACAGCCAACCTTGCTCCATAGAACCTAGATGATGCTTATAAACATATCGTTCAAACAATTTGCTTCAATCACCGACCTATCCCAAATTCACGATGACCCAGGAGAAGTAAGGCTTGACAAGTAGTTGCGCGAGAACTGTGATAGACTTGCGCTATGTCATTGGTAAGCACAAGTAGTCAAAACTGAAAATATTATCTACCAAGAGCTGCCCTCGCTTGCGCAAGGTAGTCATTGCCAGCCTCCCACATCGCATCAACAGATGTAGCAGGGTTGTCATCCAGATAACGAGCGGCAATGGCAAATATAGCCAACAGAAGCAGCTTGGTCAAGTTTTGTGAAGGTTCTGGATTGGAGTAGTATGGAGTGCCCCTCGAAGCCTCTGGTGTAGCTGGATTACTACTTTGGCTGACGTTGTAAGCAAGTCAATGACAGCCCTGTTAGCAGCTTACTTTTGTTTCCTATATCACAGTCAGAAGAATGACAGATAGACACAAGAGTGACAAGCTCACCACTCGCTATACTCTCTTAGGAACCGCCCTTTGTGGATTACAGGGAAAAATGGGTGGGCGTAGGTGAAATATAAATCAACCAAATGATCTTGCACCACAAGGGAAGGTAAGTTGACAACAACGCCTTCGGCTGGTGGAACAGGAACTGCATTGGACTTTGCGGAGGGCCAAAAACGTGCCATGGGCAATTTCCTGTCATCACAGTCATGACTACGCATAGAAGTAATCAGAGTTAAAAACGAACCATATTCCCCCCTCATGTCTGCTATCCAAACGAGAGCTACGCCCCAAAAGATGGAGACCACTAACTTTCCCATGGTACCGAACCTAATATAAGAATATGAGCATAGGTTCCAGACACAAATTCCAAAGCTCGTTGACCTCTTGATTCTCATCCAGAGAGAGTTGACCAAAAGCAGTATCCGGGCCATTAGATTCATCTGTATCTTCTGATTCTATGATCGTATTGGCTGATCAGATCAAGGATGTATGAAGTAAGACCCTCACCTGAAAGTGCATCCATCGTGTACATATCATTCCAATTTAGCTGATGTGGACCACTACTAGTTGACGGTACGTCGAGTCGCCGCCGCTGCTGCATAGGAGGTCCACTAAGGTTATGGGCTGGCGGGACACCATGATAGCCGACATGTCCTCTCGTCAGACTCGCGGACAGGCGATCTTGCCATTCTGAAGTTGGTATGGTTGAAAGTGTATTGTCTACAAAAGGCGCTTTGCATGGTATTCAGGTATCCCCCAAGGCTAGCTACTTACCTCTAGACGATGATACAATTTCTCTCGAAATCCTGGACTGCCTTCGAGAACGGGGAGAATCACGAGCGGAAGCTTCGTTACTTCGGAATATACATGCGAAGAAGTCTTCTTTTGTCGCTCCGGCTGGCTGTGACAATTTGCCAGAAGGTCCCTGTAGATTCGGATCAAACAATTTTCTCCATTTAGTTGTTGAATGTACGTTAGCACTTACAAATGGGCCCGTGTCTACTCGATTGAGAATTTCCCTTGCAAGATCATCTTGCCTAATATCGGCTATGATTTGTCGTACTCGGGTATCTGGACAAGAGAGAACGGCGCCAAGAAGGGACTCCACTTGATGCCATCGTTGTTCGATCGCTTGTATGTAACCCTTTGGGGGACCGCGCTTATAACTGGGACCTGGCAACAATGTTGGCTCCTCACCGGCGCTCATGCAAAGAACGCTTACCCAGAAATGTACATGCTGCAATCAAATAGAGTAAATTGAGACGTATGGAATGCTATGTTACGCACTGTTTCCCGCTATCGTACAACTCTTGCAGGTACCAGCGGCTTGGGATGGCTCGCACTTGCTCTTTGTCTTTCTGCACTGATCACAAGCTAACATAATTCAACTACAAGTTGAATAAATGCCCAGACTGGGCGCACCTCTACTGCTGCGCTTCCTAATTGCGAATGTTTCTTGGCTAACTTCTTCATCGGAAGGCTCTGATTCGTTCCACTGATGAGCGGACATGACGATCAAAGGAGAGTTTCGAAAGATGTCTGAGAGGTCGCGTTTATAGAAGGATTAATAAGACGCGCCTCTTCCGTTTTTGGCAATGCTTACGTCAGCATGGGCTGGACCCGTCAATTTGATCCAGGAAATGAACAAATACTGGGTCAAAGTTGTAGTTAAAGGCGGAAGGACTCCAGTCTGGGCGTCAGGGTGGTTTCAGGCGGAGTTTCAACGGTTGACATACCAGCGTAATAATCACAGCCACCCTGCCATGTCCATACTGTCACCTGACCTAACTTGTTGGCCTGGCATCCAATCTTATTTGTTAAGCTCCATGTGCTGCGCTAGCTTATCCCTACTACCCACTCGTCTTATGATTCTCTTTTGACACATGATGTTTGTGTTACCTGCTTATACCTCTGGAAAGTTTGTTTGCCTTGTTGGCATCAAGAGTGCTTCTACGAATTTCATGAATATTTCGCACATCTAAAAAGTGCGATGGAGTTGATGCTTCAGACCAAAAGGGGAACAATTCATACTGTCCACCTGAGTCTCGACCGGGGGTAAGCACATTTACTGATGAAGTTCTTGTCTGTCAGTGATACCTGGTCTTCTTTTGGTTTTTGTAAGTCACGCAGGTTCCAAATGAACTATACCAAGAATCGTTTTTGTTTTCAAGCTATCCAGACCATTCCAGATGGCGGGAACCTTACCACTGGAATCGCAGAAGCCGCACGTTCCGAACTATCCGATGCCTGTTTGGTGGTTTCGAAGGCACTCATGGCCGTAGGTATGCGAATGTTGACTGACAAAGTGTTCCCCCAAAAAGCAGGTGTGGCGCGTCCTTCAAGTAACTTTGTTTGCACTGTGGTTTGCAGGTTAAGGACACATTTGAGGAAGACAAGAAACCAAGAGTGTAATTGCTACCCAATTTGTATCATGAGAAGCGCCAGCCCGACCGTGTTGCTCTTGAATAGCAGACTTGAATTAATGGTTGCGATAGTGAATGCAGCGAAGTAAGGAAGGTCGGAAATTCAAATATTCAAGCTTCAAGCTTGGTAGCCCTACATATGTGCCACGTGGCTGATTGCACCCGCCTAATCAGCTATCCGACTCGACTGCACTTGACTTGATCGATCTGATCGCCTCCACACCATGAGCGGGCGAAAACTCAACCCCGAAGAGCAAAAGCTCCACCAAGCCGCGCTTTCCAGCACAGACAAGGCGAGCTCAATTCTCCCGATCACCCATAAATACCACACTGGTCATACTCATCATTCATTGGCAGGTATTAACCTCAAAAGAAGCTGAAAAAATTGTCCCAGATGTGTCCGCACGCACTGCAGCAGTCAATTTCCTTCTGGGAGCTGTGAGCATTTCTACACGATACATTTTTCTACGATCTTGACATACAAACTCGAAGGGCATGCTCAAAGTCCTGTCGAACGCAGCAGGCGTCATCTCCTTCCGAGCTGTAATGAAAAAGGAGATAGAAGTGTGTGTATAATATCTCCATTGCATTTCCTATGAGAACCCTCTGACGTGCAGGACATAGGAAAAAAGATATGAGCGGTGAAGAGGCCATGGTGCTCGGTCATATCCAAGCTTCAGCCAATGAAGGTGAGTTGCCACGTGTCGAATCAAACGGTAAGACTTATCTTATTTCATGTAACGCACAGGCATCTGGACGAAACACCTCAAAGCCAAAACGGAATTGCACCAAACAGTTATTGATAGATGCCTCAAATCGCTCGTTCAGAAGCAGCTCGTGAAGGCTATCAAAGCTGTCAGGGTGTGTTCCATCATCCAAAGTTCTTGGTACATTTCCTCATATACTTGTACTACGCTACGCTAGCACCCAACCCGCAAGATCTACATGCTCGCTCACCTAGAACCGTCAGTCGAGCTTACGGGTGGGCCATGGTACACTGACAACGAACTCGACACGGAATTCATCAAGCTCCTTTCAACCGCATGTCTGCACTACATCCGTGACCGTGTACGTCTCTTTCCTTCACCCCACAATTCACACTCACAATATTCTTTTCCGGCAGTCCTTCCCCAAACAAAGCTCCAAAGCCCAAAACGAATACAGACTCTACTCTATAAGCGCTGCGCCTTCTTACCCATCTGCCCAGCACATTCAACATTTTTTAAGTAAGAGCAAGATCACAGAGACCCAATTGGGCGTTGAGCATGTTGAGATGCTTTTAAGAGTGTTGGAGTTGGATGGGGAGATTGAGAAGGCTAGTTTTTTGCTTCACTTCATTGCCCTCGTAAATGTATGCTGATCGATCGGTTTATAGTTACCTGCGTTCACAGCATCTGCTTGGGACGCTACAGTCGACTCTGACGATTCAGTTCCTGGATCTAGCTCGGACTCGGACTCAGACACAGCCACTCGCAAAAAGCGTAAACGCAGCTCATCAAAAAAGAAGAAAGAACGTAAAACTAAAACGCGAAAACGGCGGCGTACGGAGGAATCGGGCAGTTCCAGTGAGAGCGACGATGATGACGAGTCTGAAGAAGAGGAACGGCAGAAACGGAAGAGGAAACGAAGTAAGAAAGAAGAGAGCGATGAGGAGGAGGATCACAAAAGTAAGAAGAATAAGAAACGGAAGAGCCGGGAAAAAGAGGATGAGAGCGAGAGCGAAGACAGCGATGATGATGATCGTACGTCCTCGACATCTAAACGCAAGCGCAAAGGGAAGAAGCTTGATGATTCCTCTGACGATGACTCTGAATCCGAATCCGACTCTGACCATCGTCGTTCGAAATCGAAATCGAGCTCAAAATTAAAGTCGAAGAAGACGAAAGCGAAAGCGAAGATAAAGAAGCCATCCTCGAGTTCAAAACGCGTTAAATTCGAGTCCCCGGAGGCGGATGACAATATCAACGTCGGAGGAGCCTTTGTTTACCGAGCAATCCGCCAAGAGCGAGTAGCGCTGGGATGGTCCCAAGCACCATGCGGTAGATGTCCAGTATTCGACTTCTGTCGCGACAAGGGGCCTACGAACCCACAAGAGTGCGTGTATTACGAGGAGTGGTTGAATTTTAAGGGACCAGGGGTCGTGAAGGTGGATGTGTGACAAGAAATGGCTTCGGTGACGCTCTGGTAGCTCTATTCTTGCACATCTGATGGGTCTTAGACTTTCTTGATCAAGAATGATGGCTCATGTCATTAATGGCTGAAAAGTCTCATTGCGAATAAAAAAGCATTGTGCTCTCCATTTCAAAGCGACAGTGGATGCATAAACCAACTACGCGGAATGAATGAAGAGGTATTGAGGGTAATACAGTTGGAATGGCGTTTAGTCCTTAGCATGGTGGAATATATGAATAGAACATGGCCGACGCAAGATAAGATATCAGGAGCCTGGGGCTCGCCCTAGGCTTCGTTCGGATTCGTTGAGGAGCATGCTCGCAGTAGACAGAGCAGAACATCCTGGAACATCACTCGCAGGGCTATGTGCCTCCTCATTTCAAAGGGCTGTAAGAGAGCGGGAGCAGAATGAATGAATCCATGTGCGTCGCAAGCTGGGAAGTCTGAGTTTGATGTGTTACGGTAAGTGCATTTCAAGGAAGAGTCGTTCCACATACTTTAGACACAGTCTCCGCCCAACCGTCAATCTGCCATGCTTTCTCACGTAACTCTTTCCTTGCCTCGAGACTCCTGTTCGCAAGATATCAGTTATATCAACGTGAAGTATCTGATGGTGAACGAACGGGTATTGCCACATGTGGTTCACCTGGTGTAATCTTCCAACCTGTGAGAACCAAGCTCCGATGGGTGCGACGAACTTGCGACGAGCTTCAATGCCTCTCCGCCTGCACAAGCTTCTGTAAGAACAAGACTTCCGAAAAAAGTTGAAACGAACCATGCATTTTCCCACTCAAGTAGTGTTCCTGGTTTTAACTGGTAGCTCCGAAGCTCGAAGATGCCGCCTTGGGCGTGGGGTGGTGCAGTGGGAAAGAAGGCAAACTCTTGCGTGAGCTGAGATGACCGTGAGGTGACGTAAGGTAGGAGTGCCTTGTACGCTTTGGCGTGCTAACAAATACCCGATGAGTCGATGCATACTCAAGATGAGCAGACTCATACATCTGACGTTCTTATAAGTGCAGTGGTCTTGTCAAAGCCGGCGTAATTCTCGTATTCGAGTATATGAACTTGACGTCGCACGCAACATCAAGACAATTAGCCTATGATGTCCTTGAAAAAACATACCAAAAGTGTCCTGCTGTCCCACTACAGTTTCCCAACTTCCGGTCAGCTTGACGTGTAACTGTGGATCATCCTTTATTCCAGCGTAGTACTTCTCCCTGAATAAGTCAACCACTTCTCAAAAAGTGCCCTTTAAAAGATGGGAATTATTTTCTTACGCTGCGGCTTTGTACTCGTCAAGCGCCCCTGGCTGAACTCGATGAACTTTGGGATGTAAGTTGTCAGACAAAGTCTAGAAGCTCGTATTCGCTTCTCACCCTCGAAGCCGTGAACATATTTTCCCCTAGCAACTATCCTTGAGTGCTGTTGAATCTCGATATCTCCTGCTTTCTTCGCTTCTGGTGATCCGTGGAGGAGACTCTAAAGAACACTCCATTAGGACAACTGTCGCAACGTTGAATGTGCGCTACCTGGACGGATATCGTTCTGCGCGCTCCAGAGAGCGCGACTTTATGAATAGATCTGTTTGCGAGAGATGGCAACATAATAAAAGCTAGTTAATAAAAAAATGCAGTGGAGATGGTCGTAACGTTGAAGAAGCGGTACAGGTGACGTAAATAAGCACTTGATATAAGCGACCCCTGAGGCCTGAGTACTTGAGTTTCAACTTTCAACCAACTACAATTCGTTCTAATTCGGGTGGAACTCCAGCCTTTGACAAGCAAGTTGATTTTAAAAAATGAGTATACTCAGTGCGATGTTAGATATAGAACTAATATATTATGCTAACCACCGTATCCAAAATTCGTAGATCATCCAGTGAGGGGAAGACGGTATATCAACCTGTAAACTCGCTCGGAAGAACCGATGATCCGTCTCCTGCGACTGCACGCTACATTCTTGCAATTTGCGAGGCGGGGACCTATGACCACGAAGCCCGGTCAATTCGGTTTCTTCGCACACCAATTCATGCGTGGAGACAACCTTAATGCGCTAAGTTAACACGATGAAGCTAAGCTGACCGAAGCGCATGAATTTACCCAGTTGACAGCATCTGGAGAGGATTCAAACTGGACTTGGCGTAAAATGTCCACCGTTTCCCTCGTAACTAGTAGCGTTATTTCAATTGTGGAATCGCTTGCTGAGCCCATGCGTGACAGCATGTCCAGGCTTACGAAGTCACCCCGTCGTGCCGCTGACAAAAGGTGTCAATTGCTACACTTCGACTCATTGCCCATCGACGTACGAAATGGACTGCGGAATGCAGTGTCCGGGCGGCCGTCGACAGCCTGAGAAGGAGGGAATCGCAAAAAATGGTCCACGGCATCCTTGCCCAAAGACTGGATACTTCGTAATTCTTGCATAACTATATCATCGGCCGAATGACTTTCAGCCTTTAAGTTTGATGGTAGTAGAGGGATATTCGTCTGCAGCAAACAAGGATCACCCAGGCACGGCGCTTGAGATACTTCATGACCAGCAGGGGTTATCGCATCGACTTCGATGAACGGTAATTTCGATTTATGAGATATATCTGAAGCTCTGAACGCATTCAAGAGAGTTGCCAGGTACCGAGAAGCATTAATCTGTGTTTCCATAGTTAGTGTGACTTCATAATTTGCGTAGCGGTGTCAGAAAATTTCACTAACAACATGGATTTCATTACGTTCATCACCTTCCATTCCGACTGTGAATGGTTGACCACCTCCTAGCTCAATACCTTGATCGAACCAAACGTCAGGAATCCGATTATTCAGGATCGTAAAATAGTTGTCTGCCATCTTCATCTCATCCTCGGATGCATTGAGATGATGTAAGAGCGCTAAGAAGTCCGCAGCGCCAGTCCGAGGCAGAATTGTACCGTGTCCAAGCCACGCGGAAGAAGTGTGCACACCGTCGGACGTAACCGTTGTACGTAGTTGAGTGGATAGAACCTCATGTGGGGGCAGAAGGTGTATTGAGTGGTCAGGAGTTCCGAAAACCCGAGCATGCAGAGTTCGAATAACCTCAGGCATAATAAGGTAGTCGTCATCCTGTAAATTCAAATATCCTATCTCAGAACACGTGCCCAAAAGAGAACATTGTCTACCGACCTGCAGGAAGCAGAAACGAGTGGTAGCCTGTTCACACGCAACGTATCGAGCTTGAAAGTAGGTGTTATGAGGCGAGTTGTATATCTTCAACTTTTCGGAAGGGCAACCTGTCTTCGCGAAGGTCTGGCCGGAAAGAACGGTGTGTATAAGATGGGGTCTGCAGATTCTTCACTCACCTGGTATGCGATTTCCTTCGGATTGTTGTTCCATACCACAATCTCCGCTATGACATCTTCCAACCACGGACCACAAAGAAGACTGACAATCTGGACAACATTTGGGAGCCGTGACCAGTTCAGAATGACCGCTGTCACGTCAGGATAGGATCGAGACACTGAAACTGAGCTAGCTCTTTGAGCATTTGAAGACCTATTTGTTCCAACCAAGAAGCTCGCCGCAAGGGGACGACTAGGGCTGGCGAGGCCCTCCCAGGGAGTCTGATCTGAGTCAGCTGGCACATGAGTGCGTTGACGCGAGAGCAGATGGACACCGAACAGCACAGCACAAGCAGTGAGGAGACAACGAAAGATTATCGTCCTGCGAGCCATCGACCCCAATTGCCACGAAGACGTTGTTTATAAACGCACTGTATTAGCGACATGGCCGAGGTTCGGTGACTTTGGTTGCCGCCTTGTTGCCGCTGCAGTTACTAGCTGGAGGCTCGGGTCTAAGCGAGTCTGCACACAAATCATATCTGTTTGAGACCAAACTCAAGAGATGAAAATCCAAAGTATGTAGCTCTGAGCATCACAAAGTGCAGCAATACACTAGGATAATTAGCTCTGCAGGCGGAACATGCTTTTGACTCAGGTTATAAGTATACATTGCGGTGTGATATTACAATCTAGTCCATTCTACCTTTCAGTGTACGCGTAATGATCTTGTCCTTGGTGCTATGAAGTAGAAATGAAATCAATGACAGAAAGTAGACTGGAGCAGGAGAAACTCACATGACATGGACAATTGCTCCCCAACCAGAGTACGCGTCTCTATCGACGGCATTCAAAAGCGTTTGCGAGATGGTTTCGAACAGATCTTCAGCTTCCAAATCTGGTTCCCAAAGGCCCTCTGCTACACCAAATAGTTTTGCGCTCGCCGTACCAGCTACCACAAAGTCTTTTGCAAAGTTTAGACATCCTATGAGATCTGTGGCTGCGATGAAGGGCTTGAAACCTCCAGAAGGTGTTTTCGATAGACCAGCCATTACTGGTTCGATGAAGTAAGGGCCAAACCGATGCTGATAGAGCGTTGAGGAAACCAGGTGGGCAAATGTCTCTGGTTCTATTTCTCTCTCTTCCTTGATGGTATACATATTAACCCGATAGCGGAAGCGCTCCCGACTAGATGCTGCTACGTCAGCCAGTGAGTAGTAAAACTGAAAACAGCCAACTCACAGTGTCGTCACGTCAGTGGCCAATCCAGGCAGACCAACATATACCCGATCAGTGACAGGAAATATCTAACGAGCAATGACGCTTAGCAGGATGGGAGGTATCACACGAGAACAAAAACCATACTCTCTGAAAATTTGAAGATATTCCCAATGCTTGGCTTCCCAACCGCAAATCTGAAGCAATGGCGACACAATCTTTCCCCACCATGGCTATAACGGAGCCACCGTTGTATTCCATGATCGACTGTAGACAGTGTAAAATCAGCGATCAGCACAGTAGAATATGTTAGGTCGGAGAGTGGGCTAACCATGTTTGTTGGCTCTGGTTGGTGATTCTGTGATTTAGTATAAGAGAGACAGTACTTTCACTGGCGCGGCCAGTGACGCGTCGCTCGTTTGGTGTTATATGCCTTTCCTAATTTGGCGTAATAGTTCACCCATGTCCTAGCAAAAGTGAATACCTAATTTGTTGACCTTAGAACTAATGATTTAATTACAGAGAGCTACGCGCTGAGGAGAGTTATAATTGCTACTGAGGAACGAGAGAATCATGTAGAGTAAAATCTGCCTAAAGTTCTGCCCAACCCCCGTCTACCTCTTGTTGACCTCCGAAGGTAGTCAAGAGTAATACGATAACGCTAACACCAACACGCATTCTCATTCCCCGATATAGTTGCCCGATACCCGTGTTTCTGAGCCATCTGGATTCGTCTTGCTTCTCCGCAAGCAGGTCGTTAGAATCATTTTCTTCCGCGTGCTCCGCCTGCTGTTTTCTCGGTTTTGATTTTCGCTTGATAGGAAGGTCTGACCTCTCCTCAGTCACAATGTGCCACAGCGCGTCTACGACACCATTGTATGGTACAGGACGCGTCTCGGCGCACGTACGCAGCGCCTTCGCCGTACCCCGTGTTTGTACTTGTAACCTTCTGCGCACAGTCTCGATAGGTAACGTGATGAGAAGGCTTGCCATAGATCCTAACACTTGAGCGAAAGCCCATGCAATGGGGCTGGTGTCTGGAGCGACGTGTGGACCAAAACCCAGTCGAGGAGCGATCAGCGTAGGCATGAGGATGTGCAATAGAGGACGAAGGCCATTGTCCAGAATGGTAGGGATAAGGAGTTGGGGATGAAAATAGATGCTTCTGATACCTCCCTCTTGGGCTATTATCTGCCTTAATGCATCAAATGGCCCAGTGTACGTCCGGTAGCGTTGCATCGCCGATTGGGCAACTAAGCGTGTCCGAACGAGATCCAAAGGCGACAGCAGAAAGCCAGTGATAACATGCGATGCTACCGGCAAAAGAAGTGGTGGGCGATATAGCCCAGCGGCTGACGACAAGAACATAGAATGTATAATATTGTCGACGAGTGGTTGCACATTACTAAAAAGCACGTCGTGAATGCAAGATGTGAGTAGCCCTGCGCATATTAACTGAGGTCAGATACAGGACACCATTAGAGGATAACGACTCACCTTTCCATAGTGAAAGCCAGCCTTCTCCACGGAAGGTGGCGACACGTTTTACCATATCCCAAGTGCCATTCATACTGCCCACAGGAATGATATATTCGGGGCGCGTTCCGTCTTCCAGCACAGATGTCCTGATTACATAGCCCTGATCGTCAACGGGCTTTGGTGCGGGGTACTTTGTGTGCGAAGCGGCGGGGTCCGCGAAGTAGGACTCGTCCTCGTTTGTAGAGTCGCTAAGCTAAGATGAAACTTACAATTATATAAATTACACACATGTTAGATGCCCACCTACCGTTTCTTCCTCTTCTTCCTCCTCGTATATATGGCTAGATGGTGCTGGAGCGTCCTTGGGAATCCACTGAATTTGAAGAAGTAGCTTTCCTACTTCCAGTGGCATCACAAGTGCTGTACTCGTATACTGAAGCAATGCTGACGCAAATAGAGAACGCAGTAGCAGGGACACATCAAGACTAGAAGGTTCGCTGAGGTCTAGTGAAGGAGACAAATCAAAAATTGAGTTATGCGCAGGACGAGTAGTCCATTGATAGCTGGTCGCTGCAGGAGCGGGTGCGGGTACGCTTGCGTTCTGCATGGGAGATGGAGGAGGAATGAATGCCCATGCGGATGAGGGAGGGTTGTAGAGATCACGAAGGGATGGATTTGAGCTCATTAATGGTCATGAAATGTGTTGGATACTATATATTGCCGTACGAAAGGTGCATTGCTTTGCGTTGTTTGTTGTGTCGGTCGTTCGTATCGTTTTTGCGTCGTATCTTAGATCGTTACATTAGTTCCAGATATCGGCTTGGAAAATCTCCTGCTTAAGCTCTCTCAAGCTATAGCCTGGAAGTACTCCTGCGCAATCTACCATCTTCAATTCGCAATTGTATGTCCAAGGCCCACCCACCCAATGCTTTCGAGGTCAGTATTCAGTGAAAACGTCCAAGGCTTGGGTCTCAGATAACCTTCGCAACGACACGAAGTACATTACATAGTGGATTTCAGCAGGATGGAGCACGTCAACTCCAACCAAACACCACGACGAATTTCCCCCCTGAACCTGCTCAAACTCAGTGAGACAACTTCGAACGTCCCTCTTCGGTGATTAAACGCGTGGCCATCACAGATGTCTCATGGACACGAACCCCAGCTTGGGTCGAGCTGACATCTCCTAGCGTACACCACAATCATGCACTCTTTTGGTCTCTTGCATCGCTCGGGTTTCTAGAAACTCGCTCGAAAAGCCTGGAATTATCATTAATGAATCGTCCTTCTCCTCAGCACTAGGTTTCCCTTCCTCCGGACAATCACGTATTATCCTTCGATTTCCTTTACTACACAAGCGCCCATCATACAGGCCAACTCTTCCCGTGAGTGAAAGTTCTGAGTATAGGTTGCTCTACAGATCTAACTTTAGTATATATCGATCCACATACGGTATGGTGACTTCAGCCAGCAATGTGAGGAGTTCCCAGTGGATCAGTGCTTTGCCCCAGTTGTCTGTCATTGCATGCAGGGTGTCTAAGGTGCAAGAAGAGCTTCACACACGAAAAGGGATTGAGACTACCACGACGAGCGACGAAAGGGACCCGGAGTGATGGTCAGATGTTAGGGCGTTGGGGTAGATTATGCAGCGGAGCAGACGGAGGTGATCTATGGAAAATGGTGAGCCGCTTAGATGCCATATTCTCATTCTGACGCTAAAAGTTGTGGCTGTTACCAGGCATCCGGTGCTCCTCGACGTTATCATTCAGTCGAATGGAACCTTCGTTGGCACTCGTGGTTCCACTACGTCCACACTAGCTAACCGCAGAGTACAGTCGTGGCATGACGGAGCGACTTGGCTCATTAGATGGGGGTAGCTGGGCGCAGACGACCACTGATGCTGATCGGAATGCTAGAATCGAGACTACTTTACAAATCTTGCTGTATGGTCTCGAGAGGTAGTGGAATTTTCTGACTTCAGGTTCGTCCATGCCCAACAATTGTAGGGAGCTCACAGTAGGTCGCTTTCATAATAAATCGTTATTTTCACATATACAGCGAAATAAATAGAAACTAAATTGAATAGAGTATGTACACATCGGGGTGAACGATATTTAAAAGAGGTTTATATGTTGTACAAAATGTGAAGACAATATTTAATATTTAAACTAACATAAAGATGGGTGCACGACTTCAAATTTTGGTGGTGTTTTGTGTGTAATCCAAAATATCAAATATTCACAACCATATTCCCACAGACAATATGTCAACAAACATAAGAAATATAGTCAGATTTTTCATGTCTGCTTCAACTTAAAGTTCAATTTCCATGTAAAACTTTGGAGAAAACTTGAAGTTTTACAGATGACATGACATTAAAACTCGATTTAAATGTCAAGCTTTGGCAAAACTTCAAGTTTTCTCCAAAGTTTTATGTAAGAATCAAACTTTAAATTGAAGCAGACATGGAAAATCTGATTATATTTATTATATTTGTTGACATATTGTCTGTGGGAATATGGTTGTGAATATTTGATATTTTGGATGACACACAAAACACCACCAAAATTTGAAGTCGTGCACCCATCTTTATGTTAGTTTAAATATCAAATATTGTTTTCACATTTTGTACAACATATAAACCTCTTTTAAATATCGTTCACCCCGATGTGGTAGTGACCTGTTACCACTCTGCCACCGTTCGGCTGCCAAGCCGCCTTTGTATATCAGCGTTAAAGGTGGAATGAGAGAAGATTGAAGTGTCGCGAGTTAGTGAACAATGTCAATCTTAGCATGAGGTAGAATAGAGATGTTCGTAGAGAGTGAATATCTACGAGAAGTGAAAGAGAATTCCAAGAGAGGAGAAACAAATCTTCGCGTGCTCAAATAATGAGTTGGAGGATTTGGTTTTTTGTGTGGGAAGGGCTGGTGTTGATTGGCCGAGACAGATTTTGGCTCGGTGTCTATAAAGACTGGGAGCTCTGTGTCCGAGGCTCGAAGTGCCCGAAAAAACGCGTGCGTTGAGAGACCAAACTGCACGTATCGGGAAGAGGAAAAAACAGCCCTTCGGAGCGCTGACTGATTCAGTATTGGAAGCAGACGTTAGGTCTGAAGGAGAAAGCAATACCAAACCAGAAGAAAAGCGCAGCTCACAACGGTAGCGTCTCCTTTGGAGACCAAACCCACACACTTAGAGATGCGATTGAACATGTCAGATGATGCGATTGGAAGATGAAAAGTGCCCGTATGGTACTGGTAGGAGAGACGGATGATTATGTAGAGGGGGCAGGGTGTGAGAGACGTTGAGCGTAAGAGTCCATGATGGTGTCTACATTCGCGACACGATCATTGTTGATGGAAGATGATATAAATAAAGGCAAGATGGTCTCAATTCTGCGCCAGTACTCCAAGAAGGATCGTGAGGTCCATCTGCCCTGTGAAGAGACTACATCAGGATGCACACCTTGTAGTAACAGTTCTGTCGCACCGCTGATGTGGAAAGCATGACCCGGCATGGGTGGAAAACCCTGAGAGGTCCAGACATTGTTGCAACGAGAGATGAAGTCTTGATGTGTCAACGACGACCAACCCGTAGGTGTTAGGTACGCGAAGAGGGGAGCATTCACCGGAACATTAGCATTGATGAGAGTGTGCTGTTCCAGGGCAGCCAAGGGACACATGCGATGAGGGCGAGCAGTGATGGAAATGATGGCACCTTCTTCCTTCGTGGTCTTGGTCCAAGGTATGCGAAGAGAAGCAGCGCGAGCGGAGTTGGACAAGATGATGATGGCCAGAGGAAGAACTGAGCAGGAGACATGTTTGATTGGGTCAAAAAGATTGGGGCTCGGAATTACGAGCTCACCCAAACGACAACAGCACCAAAAGGCCATAAAGGCAGCGGATCCAACCGCGCAGTCAAAAGGATTGGAGAATGAGAGATTGTCAAAAAGAATACATAAAGCTTCGATAGTGACAGGTGGTCGCTTAGCATGACGAGCAGAAGGAGGTACCATTTTCGAGAAACCACGTCTGGTGTGGTGCACCATGGCAGAAGCATGCCATGGAGCGCCATTGACGATATGCCAGAACTGAAGGCCTGCCATCCAGTTGTTGAGAGTTTTGGAGGCGGTGATACCCGCGAAAGCTGCGACGAATTGAGCAAGTAGAGCTTCGGAGGCGGGCATGCACTGAGTTTCAGGAACATTGATGGAGTCGCAGAATTGCGTGAAACAGAGAAGTCCAGCACCGTAGTTGCTGCAAGTGTCTTGGTCGAGAGAGCGAATCATGACCTAAAGAGAGGTCAGATATATTAGAGAAGTGACGCAAAAAGGCGTACTTGAAATAAGCGAAAGATAGATGCATCTGGGAAGTTCTTTTCTAAATTGGCCTGCCAATCCTGACCTGCAGGAGTAGACCACACAAGAAGACGGTCACTGGCGAGAACATGCGGTCTATGTACAGATGGAGTGAAGGAGGAACTGAGTCTAGGAGGGCGAGGTGTGCGAGTGTGAGAGACTTGTAACAATTGCGCTACTGATTGACGTATGGATGAGGGTGGGTTGTCAGCCCAAAAGGCAGCGGCAGCAGCTTGTACATCAACGCCCTGCATAACTTGATGGTATAGTTCAGTTTCCTTCATCTCGAAAATACGAGGAGATGTCGGGAGGTAGAGATGGGGGAGAGGAAAGGTGGGAGAAACGAGGTGGTAGGATCCCTCTAGATATAGGATCCACGAGGTTCGAAGCGGATTCGACGTAAATGAACGTAAGCGAGACACGCGCTTCTCGAAGGAGTTCCTCGGACCATCGAATGGACATATTAATGAGATGATTCGAGCAGCGTCCTTTTTTGAAGGACGCTATCACACCTTGATTGTCACTCCGTATGAGGACGTCGGAATCAGTGATATGCTTACTGTATATGAGCCGTATAGCGAGTTCGACGGCGATGGCCTCGAGCCAACTGATATCACGAGATGGGCTGCGCCAAGTCTCACTGGTGCGCCAGAAGGCCCATTTGGTATTCCAAAGTAACCTGATGCCCGTGTCTGTGGATGCATCCACCCATATGCCATAATCCCAGGTAGGAGGACGAGGAGTGAGACTACATGGAGATTGATCTGCTAGGAGGAGATGATGCCACCATTTGATGTCCGAAATGGTGGACTTGGGTAGCCAGCGTGGGATGTAGTCGTTCGAATGATAGGCCAATATGGCCAAGTATAAGCTGGAGAGATATGAGCGTCCATGAAGATAGACGAAGGAGGCGTGGTTTAAGAAACCTGTGATGGATTCTAGTTCGCGTTTCTGGACTTTTGAGTTCTCGAAGAGCAGGAGAAACTCAGAGAGACGTGCGATATACTTAAGACGTTTGAGTTCAGTGAGCGAGACAGACTTCTGAGGGAGATCCCAGAAGAAACTGACGTAATCGCCAGTATCGTTGAAGTCCTGGCCTTTGTCTGGATGCCACGGAACTTTCGCAGGGGAAATGAGAAGTTTGGCGTGATTGAGATTGTATTCGTAGTGGTATAATGAGCCATCAGAGAAACTGACGAAGAGACCTGTCGGTGAAGGGAAACGGAAGATGCTAATGTCGTCCACCCATTTCTTGGATGGTTTGACATTGAGTTCTCTCCAGATTGCAACAGTAGCATCAGCTACTTCGCCTTGGAGACCTGCAGCAGAAGCTAAGCCGAAGGGTATATTGTGATCGATATATAGTTTACCATTGTGGTAAACGATAAGATATGGTTTGTGAGTGGGGAGACACGGTATGCCTCGATAGGCGGCTTCAATGTCCAGGGTGGCAAATTGTGCGCCTGGAGGAGCATCTCGTACCTGAGATGAATATATTAGAGTCTGATAGAAGTAGCGAGATGAGAGAGTATATGTGCATGAGGTTCTCGTGCCTTCGAACGAGTGCAAGACTCGCAAAGAGCATACGAGAGAGAGAGGTACAAGTATGTAGATATACGCACTATGTCAGCGAATTCCGCCGCAGTGCCCCATTCTGTAGGGTAGTTGCTTGCATTGATTTCAGTCGTTGATGGATGCGCTCATCGAGCCATGATATGAGAGGTGACGACATACTCTGTGTTTGTCTGGAGCACCGTTGATGCCCTTTTTAATGACGACTTGGAGAGGAGACGAGCGAAAATGACCAATCTTGGTGAAGAGTTGCTCATGAGTGTATGGGCCTGAGAAACATTTCTTTGAGAGCTCGTCTGCGATGTATTCATCGCAGACTTCACGATATATGTCAGCACCGGGCAGATTGTGCGGAGTATAAGTAGAAGTGAGAGGACTCATGTCGCCAATGGGAAAACCATGACGAAGTTTCCATGTGAGCTCGGGAAATTGATGGGTGAGATTGGTGAGTTCGAGCAGATGATCAAAACCTTCAGGAGAATAAGGCGTGTTGACAAGAGAGTAATCAGCATCAAGATCGTATGGAGAAGGATGTTTTTGTAAGTTGTCGAAGTATATGAATCTGGGAGCAGGCGAATCGGGAGGCTCAAGATCTGGGATGTGCACCAAGAAGAAGTCCTCGTCAGAGAGATTAGAGGCAGGAGCAGGACAAAGCGCCGTGTTCAGGTTGACTGCAGAATGAGCATAAGTGTTGATCGGAGTGGTCCCGCTTGCAAGGACGTCGGGGATTGTTGAGATTGAATCCGATGCACAATTGAGAGTTGTTGGAACGTTTGCAGAGATTTCCGTCTGTGTATTTCGCAAAATTTTGTGCTCCTTTTGGCGAAGTCTCTTCAGTGCATGCCGAGAAACGATGGCCAGTGCGTCCGCAGATGATGCACATGGGGTCTGTTGACTTGGCGGACTTGGAGTCATGAAAGGAAGAAGATTCTCCTTCATTCTTCTTAAAAGGACGCTTGGAGGATGAGTCCTTGTCATAAGGATCAAAGCGAGAAGAAGAGCCAGCATTAATGGGACGATCGACAAAGGATGAGCGAAGCTGCTGCGAATGACGAAAGAGTTGTCTTGCAAGGTAGCATATTTCTTTTTCTGTAAACGATGGCTCCACTCAGCCTCGTCATGTTGGTGCGGACGTAAAGCATAGTTTTGTCTAGTCTCAATGTCGAATTCCAGTATGGTGCGAAAATTCTTATGAATGGCTTCGTCTTTGGCAAGTGTGGTGAAGTGTGTGGTCCATCGCTTGATGGACAGTGCATCACCAACATCAGCGATCCACGAGAGGTATCGCTGAAAGGCCTCCTGCCAAGTAAGAGGATCAAGATCATGTTCACTTTCAAACTGCGAGAGATCTAAGAGGTGGTGAGAGACTCCGTTGATGTGGACCTTGGTGCGTTTGAGAGAGTGACCTTCGCGATGAAGACGCTCCGTATTCTTGTTGGAGAAAAGAGTCAATGGACAATATTCACCGGCGTTTGCAAGATCCTGGATGAAATGATGAATCCCAAAATTATAAGTAGAGTCGAGTCCGCTAGAAGTAGCAGTCTCCTTGGAGCTGTCGAAGAGAGCTTTGGAAATGGGAGTGGTATTCGGTCTAGTGGCGACATTTTGGAGCTTCCAGCTATCCCCTCAAGAACTGCAGCTCCTTGAGCTTGAGAAGTTGGGGAGAGATTGATGAACGCAGAGATCCACTGCTGCAAACGATTTCCGGCAGAGGGAGAAGGAGGAAGAGGGATTAGAGGTTCGTCTTGTGCGACGTTTGGATTGCCAGTGTCTCTGAGCAATTGCAAAGCAGCGTTGCTTGCTACTCGGCGCGCGTTCTCAGCCATGATTTGATCATGAGTCATTTGTGTAGCCGAAGGAACGGAAGTGGCCGAAGAATTAGCATTGCCGGTGCCTGAAGGGGTTGAGGAAGGTGCAGCTGCAGAGCTGCCTGACGTGACTGAAGGAATGACGGCAGAGGTCATGATTGACGCATCAGAATAATGAGCTAAAATGTAAGGTGTCGCACAAATGGGAAGGACAAAGAAGAAGAGAAAGAACTCAAGTGTGAATCTTTGAAGTTGAGGATTTATTTGAGAGTGCGCGCACAGACCAAGTCCATTCTCGTATCGAAGTATGAGAATGCAAATCTCCACATGGACACTTACAAAGGCCCTTTTCACATGTGTTAACGTTCGCAAGCTCACAATCCGCTCGGAACGTACATGGGGGTACCAGCAGTGTAACATAAAAAGACTTCAAAAACCTTGTCAGCTCTGATAATTAGTAAGTAAGTAGTACCTTTGGAAAATACTCAACTCAAATATCCTCCAAGAACTTATGGCTTAGGGCTTGGTGAGAAATACAGATGTTACTAACATCGGTTATTAACATCAGTTATTAACCGGTTAATAACACCAAGGAAAGTCAGGTGCACTTTTAGCATGTTAATAATTGTTAACAATCATATGTTCAATACAAGAGCCTCTAGGCGCATCAGCCAGCATCATGTACATCTAAATCTCGTTTAGAAACACTCTGAGTGACAAATGTCACAATTGTTACAGGTAACAGTCAAGTGTTTAATCACAATGCCCAGCTTTTTTCTCATCTGAAAATATGTCTGAGTCACCCACTTCATCACTGATCACCATTGCCTCATCGTTCAACACTTTGTCTTCATCTTCAGAGTGGACCACTGCTCATCAGCTCAGTGCTGGATGGGCTTTAGGTGGGGCTTGTTCAATGGTTCTGCTGTGAAGCTTGGTTGATGCTTCCTCGACACTGCTAGTGCCATGTTCCTGGGTTGACTTGGCCTTCTTCGGCTGTGTGTGTATTGTTCCGTTGCTACCATCAGTATTCTTCCTGTTTTTGGATGTGATTTTGAGCCTCTCATCTACTGCTGCCTTTGCTTTATCTGTAAGTTTGATGATGCATTTAGTAGTGTTTTTGAGAATTGTTAAATGCATGGTAGCTTGTTAGTGTTGTGTTGCCTTTCCTTCTGTTGGTTGGTATTGTGCTTTAAGATTAAGGTTCGCACTTGGTACAGTATCAGAGTTATATAACATTTTGCTTACATACCCACCATAGGGGTACAGGTACGGGTGCTTACATACCCACCATAGGGGTATGGGTATGGGTGTGGGTACCCAAAGTGCATACTCCCACCCACACCCACGAGATACCCACACCCACAACCCACGTGGGTGGCTGGTACCCATGACATTGCCTACCCACAACAGAGGAGTTTGTAAATGCTCTCGACAAGCTTAACATTCCTCTCACTAACCTACCTTCCCAGCTTCCCTTGGCTGATAATTACTATGACTCCCAGTACCCCTCCTTTCTACAATTTTCCTTGGATCCTGATATACTTGAAAAGACTGGTGATGAGGTAGTGACTCTAGGTGAACAACTGGAGTCTGTATTTGGCTGGAAGGCTCGGACTTCAGGTGATGGTGTTATTCCAATCCTAGAACGTGGAAAAGCGATATGTGCCTTGCATGGTATCTTGATGCTATATTATGAAAAATACCCTACAAACAATGTGCTCAAAAAGTGGATCCATGACATCACTGCTGGAGCAGAGAAAGTTTACAAGATGTATGGTGTCCCTGTATGTGATCCGGAATTCATTTGCAAATTGCACTGCCCCTAAAACTAATCCGAGTTAAGACTCCAGAGTGCTCAAAAGAGCCTGTAAGGCAACAGGGCACCAAACGTCCAGCACCAGCTGTCACTATCATGCACTCACAAAGCACTGGCAGTAAGGTATGTAATGTTTCCTTTGTAACAATACCCATATAATAATATGAGCAAATTAGCAAATTTCAAACATGTATCTACCAAAATCATCAGGGGCTGGACGCAACCCAATTGACATCATGTCATGATTAGTCATAAAGTACTGTGACGAGGATTCCCAGAAGAACTCTTGGGGATGTGTTGCATCAGGCTGTACCTTCCTGTGACAGGGTAATGCACAGCTTGAACAAGCCTTGAAGCATGTAACAACGTGCAAAATTCTCCAGGCTGACCATGTTGAGCTGTGGCGACAAGTGATCCAAGAATCAGGTGATAATTCACTGGGAGCTAGGCTCCAAAAGGATCTGGCTGCCGAGGATATTCCAATGGAGGTTGAACCACCAATGAAAAGGTTGAGAGCACAAAACACTCTTAACATGGCTGATTTATGAGAGATAGGGAAAAGGGTCAAGGAGGAGGCACACCAGCTCTTTCAAGACAAAGTTGACCATGTCATAATGTGTCTCATATGTGTCCGAGGCTTGGTACCACATGTAATAGAGTCTCTGGAGTGGAAGGAGTTAATGGGGCTTCTCAGTGACTCATATCATCCCACATCTGCCACGACATTCACAGATAAACACATCCCTCATGAAGCTGTTTATGTCCGCGAGAAGCAAATCAAGGCACTGTGCATGATCAATAACCTTACTCTCACATTCGATGGCAACACCACATGAAAACCACATTCAGTCTACACTGTTCATGCCACAACTCCTTCACATGAAACTTACTTTCTTGATGCTCATGAAGCATCTGATGAGTGACACACTACACAATGGGTGACTGATAAGCTTCTGAAGGTTCATTGAACTGTTCTTCAACCAGGTTCCATCTAAATGTCATCACAGACAATTCGCTCCATTGGTGAAGGTAATTGGGGAGCCACATGCTCAGATAGCACAAATGTTACGAAGGCTGGTCATCATGAGCTTGTTAGCATTGTTGGCACTATGCTAGACTTTTGTGATGCTGTACATCACCTCCACAATACAATCAGAGACATCAACAAATTGCTAAAACTCAAATTTGTAAGTCTTAACCTCAATGACTCATTCAACCTAAGTTGAGGTTCCCAATTTTCAGCTCATGTCAATGCTTAAGGGCATTATAAAATATTTTAGCAAATCCACGTACTCCACCACCATACTTCAAAAGGAACATAATCTTGCTGGAGACGACAAGCCTGTGAAGGCTCTTAAGAAGATTGGCAAAACTCATTTCGGAACTTACTGGACAGCTGCAAATGCTCTTGATCCCTGTTTACCCCATATCTGCAACCTTGTGGTTGCAAAAAGCATCAAGTTTAAGGTAACATCCTTCCAGTCATATCTTCAAGTTACAGTACACTAATCATTTGGTCAGAATAACAAAATCCAGGGCATGTTTATGAATCGGGCTTCAGGCAAATATAGTGAGTTTGAGCAGAGCATACTTCAGTACATCATGATTGTTGCACCTATCATTCGTGCATTGTGGTCATTGGAAGCAGCACATGCAAATGCATCAGACATCTTCATTTTCTGGCTCGCAATCATAGCCACACTCAATGACCTGTTTTCAAAAGGGCCCAATGTGACTGGTATACCAGTATCTCTCGCTTGTGAAGTGACAGCTATCATCAATAAATGGTACCATGAGTTCTTCACTAATGAAGTCTACTTTGTTGCCTTGACATTGGACCCACGTAAGTTATGAGGCCTTGCACTGTACTCATAATTGACTTCCATTAAATCTAGGGTACCCAAACTCTGATTTCCTCAAAAAGCCTACTGCAAATGTGACAACAATTGCTATTCCCGCATTATCTCAGAGAACTGGCCAATGTACTCCCCTCCCTTATCCCCATGCCTATACTCATGTCAAAGATTTCCTCAAAGAAAAGCTTCAGAAAGACCTGGCACACTATGTTGCGAATCCCGACTCTGTACTAGCAACTTCAATCTTCAAAGTACTCTCTGCAGCAGAAGTCATGAGTGGGTTGCGGCACCAGCTTGAAGCATTTTGGCATGGTGAATGGCCCTTCAATCAGCAAGTCAAAGATAGTAACCCACTAGCATGGTGGGGATCTCTGCAGGATCATCCACATGCTCGTGTCCTTGCAGTGAGTTTCACATTTTAGTGTCTATCACAAACATCATGTCGAATGTGATCATCCCCACAGCACCTCGCCATTAAGATATTTTTGGTTCTTGTCAACTCCATGCCTGACAAACACACAAATTCGACTATTACCTGGTTCAATTCCCTAACATGAGGCAGCCAAAACGCCCAGATGCTCGTTGACATGATACAAATTGGACAATGGTACAGAAAACATCAGAACAAGGATTATGTGCTGTCAAAATATCGTCCAGTTGTCAAGTTCCAGAACATCGAAGAGAGTGTGCTACAGGCTGTCCAAACTGGCAGCACAGATGATGAGTCAGTTGCAGACATTGACGGAGTAGCAGATTTAGATAATGAAGATGAAGCCGAGGACAAGCTGTTGGAATCGGAGATAGATGAACACTAGCTTGCTCAAGCTGTTGCCTTCGAGATTCATCCTGACATTGATATCAACTTGAAGGCATTGAAGGATATGGTCTCTACTGACCCAGTTTCTGTAGTTTCCACTGTGGATCTATCATCCGTATTGGAGTCTCCACAGGCTGCCATGATGGTGACCAATGACAGAGATGCAGATTGGAATTATTAGACTCACGGACAACCTTTTTAACAATTGTTAACCACATTTTTGTTGTTAACAGTGCTAATAATGTATTTCTAACACATTAGTAACACAAATGTTAGGAATTGTTATTAACCTGTGTTAACTATGGCCCCGGTGTAGAGACTCATGCCTCTCATGGCCTGATATGGCAGTTTTCACTAGGGAGTACATAGCACGAACTTGTAGTGTCACTCTGTGCACTACCTGCAGCTATCTCTATATGAGGCACAGCTTTCCCACACAACGCACGCCATGCGTGCACACTTCCCACGCTTCACGATGTATATGCGCGCACGCTTGATCGCCCTATAGCGCCAGCCATCCGGAAGCATCCATCCACTGTCCACCAAGCTCTCTAGTGCGTGTATTTCCGTTTCCCTTATTTGCATATTATTCTACCTTTATTTTTATCATGGACCCTTACTTATATATATCTTTACATACTAGACCTTACTCGGTAGCGCTTTGGCTCCGCATGACAGCGCTTAGGTACTGTATATAAGTGCCAGCATTACCTTACCACTCCTCACCTTACTTTCCACTTCACTTCACCTCTCACTTCACCTACTACTTACTACCTAGAAAGTCACAGTAGAAATCTATTCCTTTACATCTTGCATCTCTCTTCTCTTGACTTGCATCATATCATCACTTAAGCTTAGTCTCACTCATTTCCGCATACCTGCGTGCACTTTCCCGCGCTTCGTGCCTTGTGTGCACCTGCGCTTTCTCGCGCCTCGCATTGGCTGACCAGTAGCACTTTCAGCGCTTACCTCTAGATCTTCGCTGTACTCGCTTCCCCTTTAGGGTTGAACATATGTCCTAATTTGGTAGTTTCAAAATATTCACATTTTCTGGCCAGCCCAAGCCTCACTCTGCATACAGTGGGCTTGCACAATAAATAATAGCTAGGATACACTCAACAGGACATATTGAATCAATATATATACTACCAATATCAGAGGGAGTGCAGTTACAATGCTCTGTACCTCATTTGCAAGAAAAAGAGAAATGGACTTATTATGTAAGGTTTATGTGGTGAGCAAGGTCTTCACTGAGTTTTTGCTCGTACCTTGCTGTGGGAGCCAAACAATTTCCGAGTGGTAACAGGTCACTCATCACCGAGCCATGTTACATACTTCCTTCCTGACTTCCTAAGGAGGGTTCTGTGGCAAACATATGCCTAATTAGCTTGCTAATATCTTGCTAATTAGCACCCAGCTAATAAGCAACAAGTTTTCTCCTGAACCCTAGACTGCAATAACTCCTTGAGTGTGGATATTTATAAGTTTTGTATGGTAAGTGTTTGACTATGTAGTGAATATGCTAATCCCAAGAGTCTGCCAAGAGTCAAGTATTCATTGATTTTGAAGAGTTGCAGACTTCTCAAACCACAGTCCGCTGACCAGAAGTTACACTATCTACTCCTCGACAACTTCGCTGATCTCCTTCTCCAACATACCCCAGTCGCATGACATCACAAAGAGCTTGTTGCTCATCAAGAGCAACTTGGCCTCCTGAGCCTGTGAGTGCTGATGCCCACATTCTTTGTGTTCTTTGCCCTTCAGCTCAGCATTCTCAGCATGTACTCCAACTAATTTTGCAGAAAGGTGACTACTCTTCCTCACGTGTGAGGCTGAACCCAAGTATACCTTTATCTTGTCCTCTACATCAGAAAACTTGTCTTTGTCACTGTCACTTTCAGATGACACCTCTCTCTGGCATGTACTCCCTTTCACCCTTTTTGCAGAAGGTTTTTTGGCTCTTGAGGTTCCTTCCTTTCTTTTCTGTGTTGTTGGGGGCTTTGGATGCGCTTGGTAATACAAAAACTGATTGAACCACTCTGCACAACATCCAATGCATTTCATGACAGTGAAGCCAATCACGAGCCTTCCATCACTGAGTGCCTCCCAAAGACCTTGTGTCATATGCTTGATGAGGTGAATTTCACCCCCTTTGTCCACAAGCTCAGCATTTGTCGCTTTGACCCAATTCCTTCCCCATATGGACTTCAGAGTTCCCTCCACCCATGTTCATATGACCAGGGGAGGGAGCAGGTGACACAGTTGTGGCAGAATCTATATGGAAAGAGAAGGAACTAGTGCTCATATTAGAGAAGTTTGCAGAGTGCAAAGGGAGGTAAAGGAAGGATGGTATGATATCAGGTTATTCTGGTGCAAGGGTCGATGAATTAGTGCTTTGTGAGGGCAACAGAGGAATGTGTGCTGACATGTTTGATGGGTCTGATTTTGCTAGACGAGTGCAACAATTGTGCCAGATGTGACCTGTGCACTTGCAAGACCCACATGTGGATTGCCATGATAGCTCCCACTTATCACCTTTGGTCATATCAAGTTCCTTCGGTTTCAGACGTTCAATAGACTTTGCTGGTTTGCCTGCTCTAGCTGCCATGGCTGAGTGATGTGCATTGTCTTCTTAGATAGATGATCTATAGATAAACACCTATAAAAACAAGTATCTCCATGGTCAGTGATTCAGACAAATACCAATGACTGATAATGTGGTCGTTCATGGGTGGCTAGTTGTATACTACCTAAGGTATGTTCAGCTAAGGATACTTCTGCAAGATCAGTAATATGATGGTCAATCCAATCTATGGACTTGACAGGAAAACAAACAAACAATGGTCAGCCTGACAGTATGGCAGTGACCAAAAGAATGTATGTCCTAGGGAAAAACTCCCTAGGCCTGAGATGGATAACAACTAAGTTGGAAGACTAGAACTGATATGAGGACTTTAGAGTGAGATCTAGTGTGAGGACTAATATGATATTTGGACTGAGGAACTACAGGACATATACAAGAGTTTATATACTAAGTGACTATCGGAAAGATCAATAAGCAAAGGTCCGAGGCTATGTACGAAGCATAAGCAAAGTTATCAAACACGAGTCAGAAATGAAGCATAGGTTAATGGATCAGTAAGCATACTGGTAGTAAGTATAACTGAGGTACCGGGAACAAGGAATACCAGATAGGCTGTGTTAATGTTATATGCACAGGAATTGAATTAAGAAGCTTATCATATATCAGATAGGAAACAGATCTATACATCAGATCAGATCAGATCAGATTGGATCGGATATGGTCCGGACAAGATGTGTAGACATATGGGTAAGGGCAACCTTTGTATATATGTGACATCTAAGAGAAGATGAGGAAAGAGAAAATAATATTAGCTAGTTCAAGTCAGTATGAAAAGTGTTTGTTGCTGACAGAGAGACATCTGATGATGGCGTGGATGGAACTAAGTGAATGAATATTATTTTCCGGGAACAGGATGATGTCCGGAGTGTTGAGATCTTAGATAAATGAATCAATGGGAGATTGTTTAGTGTTAATTTGTTTTGTGTGTGGGAGGGTCTGGCTTTTCTGGACCAGTGCATGAAGGCAGGGGTCTGGGTGAAGTGTGTGGATCCCGCGAAGTCCGAAATAATGCAGCTTGTGCTCGGAGGGTATTTGGGATTGATTAAAGCAAACCCTCAGAGTGTGTTGAGTCCGAAAAATGCGTAGACCGGAGGGTCCAAAAGGAAACACTGATCCAGACCAAAACTAGGAGAAGCTCACAGCGGAAAGTGGGTCCTGAAGGACCCAAACCCCACACACATAGAGCTGATCAACAATATGTTAGCAATAATGTGACCAATGATATTCATGAGACGCCTGTAAGATAAGCTTGATGGACAGGTAAAGATTATGTAGATGGGGCAATGCGAGAAAGATGGTGACGATGAGTGAAGGAGTCCATGACTCGATCAATCTCCAGCAGACGCTCAGTGTTTGCTGAAGAAGCAATGAAAAGCGGCAATATGGTATCTATGCGACGCCAATACTCAAGAAAAGCATCTGAGGACCATCTGCCTTGAGTAGACATGATGTCTGGATGGACACCTTGCAGCAGTAGTTCCGTAGCTCCTCCGATTCGAAAGGCATGTCCCGGCAGATCTGGGAAACCTTATGCCATCCAAATGGTGTTACAGTGTGCGAGGAAAGCAGTGCACGTCATAGGAGACCACCCAGAAGAGTCGCAATATGAAAAGAGAGGAGAGTGTGAGGGCAGGTTCTCATTGATGCAAAAGTGCCGCTCAAGCGCAGTGAGAGGGCAGGTATGATGTGCACGTGAGGTGACCGATGTAGAGACTCATGCCTCTCATGGTGTGATATGGCGCGTTACACTAGGAGTACATAGCACAAACTTGCAGCATCACTCTGTGTGCTATCCACAGGTATTCCACTATGAGGCGCAGCTTTCCCACACAATGCACGCCATGCGCGTGCCATTCCCACGCTTCACGATGTATATGCGTGCGCGTGTTCCTGTGCTTGAGCGCCCTATAGCGCCAGCCATCCAGAAGCACCCATCCACTGTCCACCAAGCCCTCTAGTGTGTATATTTCTATTTCTCTCATTGCATATTGTTCCACCTTTATTTTTATCATGAATTCTCACTCATATATATCTTTACATACCTACTCGGTAGCGCTTCGGCTCCCCATTACAGCGCTTAGGCGCGCTATATAAGTGCCAGCAGTACATAGTGAAACTTACTTTCCAAACTACTTTTTACCTTACTGAACTTTCCACCTTACTTTACTTTCCACCCACTATCTACCTAGAAGAACATAGTAGAAATCCATTGTGTCTATACTTCACATCTCTTTTCTCTTATCTTGCATCATATTATCACTTAAGTCTAACCTCTCTATTGTTTCCGCACGCGCGCGCACTTTCCTGCGCTTCGCGCTAATACACGCGCATGTTCCCGCGCCTTGCGCGCACCTGCGCTTTCTCGCGCCTCACTTCAGCGCGTACCTCTAGATCTTCGCTACACTTGCTTCCCCTTTAGGGTCAAACGCACTTGTCTTGTCAAGTAATGCAGACTAGGCAAAGCACGACATTACAAACATTTATAGATACAGTCTGGAGCCTCATTTGCTCCTCTCTGTATTGTTGTTTCTACACCAAGATGTCTGCACCTCGCTCCTGTGTGGTCTTTGACCAAGGAATGTGAAGTACTGTGGCCCAAACATCTTTGTGCACTGTGAGGATGACAAGTGGGAGAATGTTCTGTGTGACATGCTTGAGCGGATCGGCAACATTGGGACTAGGAATGACAAGTTCTCCCAATCTGATTAGTAGATAGATGTTCTAAGTGAGAGTGATGGTGATGATGAGGGTGGTGTGCGTACCAACAGCAACACCAAAAAGAGACAAGTGCGACTGCACAAACTGCAACATCAAAAGGATTGGAGAGATAGAGATGATCATGGAGGATGCAAAGAGCATCAATGGTGACCAGAGGTCTTTTGGCCTGACGAGAGGAAGGAGGAACCATTTTGGAAAACCCGCGTCTAGTGTGATGCAGCAATTGAGAACCGTGCCATTGGGCACCATTGATGATGTGCCAGAACTGTAGACCTGCCAACCAATTGTTGAGCGTCTTCTCAGAGGTTGTGCCTGTGAAGGCAGCCATGAATTGAGAGAGTAAAGCCTCTGCCGCTGGCATGCATTCGGCTTCGGGTATGTTGATGGAATCGCAAAACTGAGTGTACCGCAAGAGTCCCACGCCATAGTTGCTGCGGGTGTTGGTATCAAGAGATCTGACCATGACCTGTATGTGGGTCAGAGATGATGAGAGAGAGAGTGAACACTAGAAGGCGTACTTGGAAAAGACGAAAGAGAGAGGAATCTGGATATTTCTGCTCCAAGACAGATTGCCAATCCTGTCCGGCAGGAGTTGACCACAGAAGAAGACAATCACTAGCAAGAACAGATGGATGGTGTTCAGAAGGAATGATGCTGGAACTAGGACATGGTGCATGAGGGGTGCGAGGCTGAGATTGCTGTAGAGATTGGGAGACTGATGTGCGAACAGTGGAAGGTGGATGGGTGGCCCAGAAAGAAGCTGCTGCTGCGTCAGCGTTGACGCAACAGTAGAGTTCACTCTCCTTCATCCTGGAAGTAGGAGGAGATTTTGGAAGGGAGGGAAGGAGGAGATGCGAGATGCAACACTGCTGGAGGAAATATACCACGGGAAATGGGATCCGCGAGGTTGAGTGATGTGTTGACATACATGAGTGACAGAAATAAGCGAGATTCTCGCATAAGGGCCTCTGAGCAGTGAATCGCTAGATTGATCATGTAATTAGAGCAACGCCCTTTGCGAAAGGCAGCGATAACACCTTGATTGTCACTGCAAATCAAGATGTTGGCATCTGAAATGCCCTTAGCGTGAATGAGCCGAATTGTGAGCTCGATAGCCGAAGCCTCAAGCCATCCTATGTCATGAGAGGGGCTGTGCCAATCTTCAGTTGTATGCCAGAAAGCCCAACGTCCATTCCATAGGAGGCCAATGCCCATTCCTGTTGAAGCATCCACCCAGATACCGTAGTCTCTGATGGGGGGGAGAGGAGATATGTCTAGAGGCGAAGGGGTGTTTATCAACAAGGCAAGCCACCATTTGAGATCAGATTTGGTAGAACGACTGAGATATCTGGGAGTGAAGTCCTTGGTGCCATAAGCAGCAATGTCTGAGTAGATATTGGTGAGATAAGAGCGGCCATGAGGATAGACGAAGGCTGAATGTATGAGGAAGCCCGCTATGTGTTCAAGCTCCCACTTTGGCACTTGTGAGTCTAGGAAGAGAGCGAGAAAATGAGAGAGATGGGCGATGTATTTAAGGTGCTTGCACTCAAGTAGAACCACTTTTTTGTGGGGGATGTCCCAGTCAAAACCAACGTAGATACCAGTGTCTTTGAAAGGTTGTCCCTTCTTTTCGTGCCATGGGATTTTGGTGGTGGAGACGAGTGATTTGGCCTGGGCAAGGTCATAGTCATATCTATATGCTTCGCTGTTCGAGATGCCCAGATAGAGACCATGTGCAGAAGGGAAACGAAAAATAGTGACATCATCAACCCATTTCTTTGAAGGTTTGACATCCAGAGCTTGCCAGATTTGAACCGATGTGTCAGCGACTTCACCCTGTAGACCTGCGGCTGAAGCTAAGCCGAAGGGGATGTTGTGTTCTATATATAATTTACCATCATGGTAAACAACTAGATAGTGCTTGTGTTCTGGTGCGCATGGAA